TCCAATTTAAGTCATACGTTCAAGCTTCCACAAAAACGTAGTTGCTTCTGCAATGGTTTACATTTTTCAAGTTTTTTGTCCAATGACGTAAAAAAAGAAGATTTTCACTAGAATCAAGTTTATGTTTCAATTGTTTCGAACTTGGTCAGTTTGCTTTTTGGTGTAGATTTCCTAACATGTGTCGCGCTTGTTCGGGTAAGCAGCATTCAGTGATCCATGGCCTGAGGATCTTTACAAGAAGATCAAATGCTAACAATCATCGCAATGCCTCTACTCGTACAAACAGCGTTGCCAATGCAAATGTTTCAGACGTGGTGTCCAGTTTCAGCTTTTGCCAGTTGTAGTGAAGGATCCATTGGGCTTTTCTGAATAAGTTATCGCTGTTGTAGACTCTGCTAGTCAAATCTCAATTATATATACAACATGAATCGAAACGAAAACTTGGTCTAATAAATATAAACCATACCAGTGTTTAGGCTTGCACGTAATTTACGGAATTACGGAATTATTTCGAGTTACGGAAGCGAAGTTACGAATTACGTAAAGTCGTAATTATTGGTCGAGCGCTTTCGCGATTGAAACGAGCTCTCTTCATAGCAGTCAATTCTGTCGATTGTAAAAAATTAAAGTTTGAGTAAAAGAAGTTAGAGTTCCGGTATTCGCAGCCGTTTTTCTCTCTCTTGTTAGGCAGATGGGGAAGGGATAACGCGTCACTTACTAACCTATTATCAACTTATCTAGGATGGCCAATGTACATTTTAACCGTAGATAAGGAATAGAATTGTGTTGAGACCGATGGACGTCAACACACCTGGTTTCAACTTCTTCGGGTGAAATGACTAAAGAATGTAAGAGATCAACTTATAAAACATGGTCTATTTGTAAATGCCGTGATAATTAATGTCGCGCTCATCAAGCAGCAATATAAAGACGGAAGAGAAATTGCGTAATGAACCAACGCAACTTAGTCTTTTCGGCATCGTTAAAGCGATTGAGACGGCAGAGAAACAACAATACGACGGGATTTCCCGTGTTTACTCTGCACGAGATCCATTTTCTATCACCAAATCTTGATGTTCTGTTACCGGTTTTATCGTTATATATCTGTCCGGACTTGGCATTGCTCAATACGTTTTTCACAATGCCTCGCAATATGTCGGCCAAATATGATTACCTGTCTTTACCAAATGCGGCAACTTATTTTGATTTATCGTCGACTCGAATACCACCGGCACTCGACCAAACTTGTGTCAATCTTGGCAAATAGGATTGTCGACTTGAGTTAGAAAAATAAATTAATATTTTCATGAGTGCAAAATAAATGTCACAAAATGCATTGTTTTGCGATATAACTTTGTATTTTCGGAGAAGGCATGTCATATAAGTGCGTTATTTTAAATAATGCGCAAATAATTAATATTTGGTCTAAATTTATCGCAAATAATGTTATAACTTTTAGGCCGCGAAATGATTTAATGTAAAATGAAGCATGGAATTCGGAATATCGTCAATAAGTCGGCATCAATAATTATTATAAAATGCTAACTAAGTAGTAAAGTCGGATATTCTAAAAAACGGTGAAATAACAAGTCTTCGTCGCGAGGCAAGCGAAAGTATAATCAAACGAAAGAATACGCTTGTAGTTGATTAAAAATTAGCAACCCGGAATTTTTATTTAATACGAAAGTCGTATTAATACGTTAATACGATTTTAAAAACATGAACTATCGTTTCTTAAATATGTTACCAGTGTTGGTAATGATAAAATTGATCGCATAAAATTTGTTTATAAAGCGGATAAAAAAATCAAACCTAATACAAAAGATAAAAATCAGAATAAAATTATTTTGAATTCACTCCTTGATATTTGTCTTTAACATCTGTCGCCGGCGTGTAGTATTGCCGGGAATATGAAAACCAAACTTCGATGTCCCATTGATGATTACAGAGAACAAAAGTAAGCTGAAATACCAATTGGAAATGTTGTTGACGAGATTCTGGTATTCAGAAGTCGCCTTGGTGATGACCGTTATTGTTTCCCCAGCATCGTTAAAATTGATATTTAGGCGGTCGCTCAGGCTATGTGCTATTTTAATCAGTTTTATTAGTGTTTCTGATATTTAGACGTAAATAAAATGACTCTTTCACGTCTGAAAATTTCTCCTTGCACTTCAACCATTGACTGACTACCTTTTGTGCTCCTTTTAGGAGTATTCTACGAGCTCGCATTCGCAAACTGTGTTAAAATCAATATTTTGTTCCCAAAAAACAGAGCAGATGCCAATAAATACTGAACCTAGTCCAGTAATATATCCAAGCAGTTTCGGAATCGTTTTTTTGCTTCGATACTCCGATTAAACCAAGGTTTCTGCACGTGACCGCAGCTTTAGGCAATTTTATTTTATAGGAGGCCAAATGACCGCTTGATTTAAACCTATATAATGAAAAGAGTCATATTATGCTGGAAATAGCGTCTAATTAAATTTCATTCCGCCATCTTTGCTGTTTAGCCATTGTTTCTAAATAAACTAGATCCGTACCCAGGGAAACGTTTATTACATGCAACATTTTGGGCCATCAATTTGACGCGGAACACATGAAGGCCTCTCTCACGGAACAACGGTTGAAATCACTGGTATAGACAGTATATGTAACGACTTTTTACTGCGTCCCAGTCCTTGATTACTAAATCGTAAAAGCAGTTTCGGTATGTCACCTCAACATATTGAAATTTCTGACGTATTCGTGTAATCTCGTTTAAAACAACATTTACAGGAGAATGAAAATCAACCTATATTTTCGTATCTTAGTTAGGCCCTCTTGAGTTTGCTTCAAGCTTTAACTTTAAAATAAATTCCAATTGTATTCGAATAAATGAATCCAGTTGAGAGAGTATCAGCGGGGATGATGGGTTCACTGGTCCTTGAAACTACAAAGCTTGATATAAAACCAGTGATAGAACGATTGTCATGGGATTTAATTAAGGTGGACAGGTCAACCTTGTGCTTGTTTGTGGGTGTTCATGGAGATATTGACGGCAATATGGCAATGATCAGTTAAAATTTTGGTGATAATCATTCACTGGGCCTTGAAACTACAAAGCTTGATATAAAACCAGTGATAGAACGATTGTCATGGGATTTAATTAAGGTGGACAGGTCAACCTTGTGCTTGTTTGTGGGTGTTTCATGGAGATATTGACGGCAATATGGCAATGATCAGTTAAAATTTTGGTGATAATCATTAACAATATATTAAAAAAATAAAATATGAGCATGTGAATTTTATTAAACAAAGATGGAGATATATGGTTAAATACAAGCCTTTACCTATCACCACATTGGGGGTAGATATTGGGTGGATTGAAAGCATGAACTGTGGTTCCAGTTTCTTTCCATACCAAGTTGTTAGGAGAGAAAAGTCAAACAATATATATAAAATTAAACATCCAACATCGAAGAGACAACTGAAAGTCGAATAATTTATTATGGGTAAGTATGATGATACACAACACGCATTGAAGTTTTTCATTAAACTAAAATGAGCTTCCACTAAATCACAAGTATTTTTCTGAATCATAAAATTTGACTTCAAAATCTACGATTATCAGTCAAACAAGATATTATGGATACTTTTGAATATTCTAGTTTTTAAATTCTGTTCCAAGCTTTTCTATTTTGAATAAATTTCATTGAAGCAGCTACGATATTTCAAAAACATAATTATACTTATCACGGCTTTGAAAAAATTCAATGCTTTCACATGAATATCCGATGAAATTTAAATTTATCTTTTATATACTTTCGAAAACAAAGTACAAATTACATGCATTTAAAGGTAACTCAATTGCATACTAGAAATAAACAGGCTTTAAGTAGCTTGGGAATTACCACAAGAAAAATTATAACCTTGAGGTGCATTTGGCAAAAAATTTCGTATTTGAATTATGTAATTCATAACAATTAAATATGGAGAATTAATTGAGGAAAAATATATAAATTATTAGTTGTTGCTAACAGATGTCAATACGAAATTAATATTATACAATTTAATATCTTCACATATCACAAAAATGCATTTACACCGATGCAGACAAAATGTTTTAAATGGAAACAGGCCATATATGAAATGCTAAGATGCAAAATTAAAATCTGCTCCAACTGGAATTTTGTACATCTCAACAGCTGAAATTAATAAAACAAAATTCCCGCTAGTATTACAGCTGATAATGATGACAATTTTCTTCTACAAATGAAAATAACTAAAACAAACTAAGACCACTAAACTAAAATACACGCCATGCATGGGTAATTAGGGACAATTCCTGGTAGATAGGAATAACTAGTTACTAAAAATAGGTTAAATACTGGTCAAAAGGGTAAATTATACATCAAATTGTTTGCATAAGTAGTTAGTATTATGAATAAACAATAGCCTTATAGTATTATTAATTGCATAAGAATTAGCAAAATATGAATTACTATGAAAACAAAAACATGAAATAAAAATAAACATATAGGAAATTAACATTATAATCTTGTAACATTGAAAAATAGTAATGTTTAGAATTACTCAATCTACTACAGATAGACAGAGTTGATAAATCAACCAATGTCGCATAACAGATTTATCCATGTATTATGTACAAGTGACTCGTAACATTAACATTCAAATGATTTAAATAAATACGATAATAAGTAATTGTAAAAGGGGATTTGTAAAAAAAAATTGCATATCTGAATTATTTAATTGACAACAATGAAATACGAGATCTAAATTTAAATATTTATTTTTTGCCAGCAGAAGTAAATATGAAAGTGATATCAAAATATAGCAAGAAATATAAAATCAATGTAAATTGCTGAACCATGATTAAATTTTAAAATGATAAGTGATTTTAATAGCGATTATGGATCGCCCTTTAGGCAAAATAGAGTCACATATAGTCGCACTCCAATCATGGCTAATGAAGTCGAATTTGCAAAGAAAAAATATTGAATAAATATATTGAAAAAATAATCAGTGGACCATTTGAATTGCGTATTTTATAAATCAAAATTATACAGGGGCTGCTCAAATATAGTTAAAGCATATGGTTTACAAAAAGACATTGGAAATACTAATGGAGGCTATTATGGTGGGATTATCTGGTTGGTTACAGCTCCCCCTGCCAAGCAAATTCATGATACATCTGAATATAGATCAGATTTTGGTAACCGGGCTGATAACAGAGTGCTCAACTAGCCTTCTCGACAGGATAAATACAAAACTTATATATCGCAATTATCACTGGCCCACATCTCTGTGACATCACAATGGGGCGACATGATAGAAAGAGTGTGTAAAGAATCAGTGTCTCCAGCACTGATTACAAAGCAGCAAAAGGCGACAAATGTGTATTTGCAAATTTGAGCACTCAATTCTTGTATTATCTCAAGCTATAAGCCACATAACAAATTTCCTTAGCGGACCCTCCAAAGTGCTTCATGAACCCAAAAGGTCAGCGAACTCCAGTTTGGGAATCACTGAGTTAGTTGGAGTAAAACTTGTGAGAGTTATTCAAAAACTTGACTCAAAGCATCATTTTTTTCAATGAATATAAAAATGCTCTTTTACTTTTGCAAAGTATTGAAACTTCATTATCCAGTATGATAACGTAATTGAGATGGAACTGAATAACAGTGGTAGACTAAAATATATAAAAACGGGTCAAATAACAAAGTATATTTTGACTCCCAAATCAGCATAACAACAATAACTGAGTCTGGAAATCAATCTACAAATAGGAAAATGTAAGCAAAAGCATGAGTTTAATAAATTTAGCGAAATTATTGTGGATAATTTTAAAATATGAAAGGCACGTGTTTCCTTCCCCACAAACAGAAGAATAATAAGAAAATGAAAAACACAAATGAGCACATGTTTGCTCACCTATAAAAGAATGAATACTAGGAGCGTGATAAAAACATTCATTCTCTCTTACAGATTTGTAAACTCTGACCGACCGAATCTTCTCATCCTTACTCAAAGGCTTAACAAACAACAAAACAACTATTAGTATAAGAGAAAATACTTAAGTAATTAGGATGGAATTAGCCAGATGTGGAAGGATGAACTGATTTAAATGTTTGTTCATACAGTAGATGTAATATAAGGAAATATATACATATATGCATAATTATCATGTAGTTGATTAATAATAAAAGGATGAAACAGATCAAAATCGATGGAAAATTGAGAAAAAATAAATTGTTGGTTTTGAAAATTCTGACCAATTAGCGTAATAGAAAAATATTGACAAATACAATTCTTGATCATTCTCAAATGAACAGAATAAAGTTTGATTTAAATACGCAAGGACGAGTCTGACTGATATCGCAGTTCACTGAACTTCATAATATTCATAAGTGGCTTGATAATGACACTACGAAATCAATGAAGGAGTTCAATAGAGTATTGTCCGGATAGTGTTGAACGTCCATTGTTGATCATCTATTGTTATTATTTAATTCCTGCTGCCTTTAATTTCGCCTTCAATGCTGCACGAAGTTTACGCGTATGGTCATCATCAGGATATCCATTGCTGAAAAAGATTAGATTGCATGAGAGATAATGGCAGTTGCATATGAGTCTGATTTCAATTAACTGTAAAAAATAAGATGTTCAATAAAAGAACAATGAAAGTCACAAATATTTGACTCCATAGAACTAAGAAACGCTTAACTTAGCAATGCCTGTGTGAGTGAGATTCGAATGTAAGGTTTAGATGTGTAAAAAGGATGTCAAGTCAACTTTACTCTTAGGTAGAGATGAATGTCCAAATATTTGAATTTTTTAGAATTTTCAATTGCACTGATAACGTACTGAAATACGAAACACTGATATCAAAATCACTAACTAAAGCCCAACACCCCTTCCAGTGTGCAAAGGAAGATTTCGCCAAACAATGATAATTCTGGAGTTTCAAAACCCAGTGAAGTCTGATTGGACAGAGCACTGATCGATGCGAAAGTGTAAAACCACCAAATAGAAAATAAATTGATTTGAGGGCAATGGCCTAGTGCAGCGGTTCCCAAAAGGTGAGTCGCGTGTTTTCAGGTGTGCCACGAAAATTATTAGAATAACTAATATGAAATATGATTTGATATTTTACAATTTACAATTTGTCTTTATTAAAAAGTTTTATTGTTTCCTATTTAAATGCTGTGTATATGGATCAATAAATTCCATTTAGCTTGCTATGTCGTTATGTAACAATAGATATAGACACCACTTGCTGCAATTTCGTAAGATGCAATTTATTTTATCTGCTGAACTGAGTTAAGCGAACATGCAGAGATGAGGAAGAAAAGCTGGCCTTTTGCCTTCATTCCTTAGGCCTAGTTTCCTAATGTTTAAGGACATAAAGTACACCCTAACGATCACGATATTCACCATACTTTTCCGTGCAAGTGCGACGCAAGCATTTCCTTATGATTTCCTGCACAAAAAAAAGGTTTGGGAACTGCTGGCCTAGTGGTTAAAGTGTTAGGCACATCTCAGTTCAATTCCCATGAGCCCCACCTCACCCAAGGTATAAAAAATGAGTAGGCAATGCTGAACTGAACAGATACTATTTCTTCCATATAATAGTAGCCCTTTACATATTGCTAGATATCAGTGGAAGTTTGAACAAAGTCTTGTTTACAGCAAAATGTATGAATAAGCATCGTATATATGAAAACCTTAGTGAAACCATAATTATATCAAGTTGGATGCACAATGAAACGCTGACAACAGAAAAGCAAAACTTTTAGTTATTACTGGAATACAGATCAATAATTACAAAATCGGGCAACCCTGATTCCAAGGTACAGTCATGTTTTAGAAAATCTAGGCCGGATACCATTGGGGAATTCTGATTGTCACTAAGAAATTGCCCTCAGTCACATACACCCTAACATTTTGCAACAGCATGACAAATCATGGTCAATATTTATAAGGAATAGAAAGAACGCTTCCTGGTCATCCCTCACCCATCAACTGGAATTTGATGGACGCGATGGTTTCTTATATACAGCCTTGTTCATAGCGAAAGGTGTATAAAAGATGTGTATTAACAAATTTAAATGTTGCTTGAAATCAAGAGAGTAAAAGTGAGAACGTTGTACTGACGAAGCATGATATAAGTGGTTGCAAATGTCACAAGCTGGATGGATGGTTATGGGATCAAAACTGCGACCCAAACATGCCTTTCTTTGATTTATAAATAAGAGTTTGCAAAATAGTGTTTAATACAAAACATGACTTTTTATGTGCAAGTTCATTTTTCTAACTTTGCATGGAAGGTCAGTTTGGAAAAAAAATATTGATTTGGTTTAATTTAAGGTACTCCCGTAGAATGTGAACCAAGATGGCGGACATCGGAACACAGTATATGTATCAAGTTGGGGTTAGGCCATAATTTCAGGTACAAATACTACAGGAGTCACTTGGCTGGTCCCCGAATCGTAACCGAACTAAAACAAGGAAAATTGGAATAAAATTATGGCCTAACCCTAACCTGGTACACATACTATGTTCAGGTGTCCGCCATCTTGTTGCACATACTACGGAGCAGCGCCAATTTATATTTTTGCAATTCACATTTTAAATCTCAAATTTGGTTGGAACTAAATTTTTAATACACCTGTCATTGATATAACTTAGTTGAGGTCCCAGTCAATCCTCATCACAATTGTGCAAATTTTAAAATATTTAATCAGAAAACTTACTTATCTGGACCTCCACGTTTGTTAGTCTTATGAGGAAATTCATCATTCCATATTATCTCTCCTCGGCTGCTTCGAATTATCTGAATCTTGAAGAGCAATCCTGCATTGAATGCTTTCTGGAGCAAGGGTATGATCCCAATGTAGGGCAAATATTCAGTGAATTTCTTTGCCTCATATGAAACACCCTGCAAAAATAAACATAATAAGTTATTAAACTTTTATCTCTGATAATTTATCAAAACTGATATAAACACCAGGTGCTCCAGAAGTATGCGCACCAAGATGTCGCACAACCTGCATCCTAACCGATACACACATACTATGTTCAGGTTGTGCGCCATCTTGGTGCGCATACTCCTGGAGGTCCAAAAGCTTTAAACTAAAATTTCTGCAACCCCGAATCAATTTCTCAGAAGCAGACAGTTGGAAAAGCATTTTTTTGGTGATTTTAGTTGGGATGTTTTCAAATACTCGCTCTGAAAGAGGCACAAAACAAGCAGGCACTGATACGTTAATTGAACGATTGAAATCTTTCTCACTAAACATTGACTATCAAAACATTTGATTTCTAGGTCAGGAGGAGGGCACACATTTGAACCAAAGATGTTTTACATGTGCAAACAAGTAAAATATCCTCAGGAAACATATAATCAGTGGCACCTTGTTCAGAGTTGCCTTCACATAACATTTATTGAAAAAAAGTTTCGATTTTTCAAAAAAGAAATCAAACATAATATATCTATGATTGGAAGCAGAGTTGAATATGATATCACTAACATATTACTGATACACAAAAAATCCACTGATATGTGAGAGGTTATTTATGAAAAAACCAAAGGACCAACATTTTTTCAGGCAGAGCATTGCTTGCCAATTTATATACATCGTTGGTGAGATCGCCGATTTGGGATTTGAAGATTAATGTTAAGAGAAGTAGCCAAACTACGTTGGCATCACAGGTTAATAATCTTTGATTCAAGCACATTACTCAACAGTGTATAATGAAATAAGTAGGAGTGTAAGATAAATTAGGTGGCAATGCAACCAGGAAGATTTCAGTACTACAATAAATAGTAGTGCCTTGCGTATCAGTGGCTGCTCATACATAGCCTTGTTTGAAATAAAAGACATGACAAACGTTTCATAGAAAAAATTCATATGGTAAGTTTGTCATTTTAGGCGTTTGGAATCTTATAGCCGGACAAAACTATCAGGCTGAGAAATTATGAAGATTATTGCCAAAATGAAATACCTAATTTACTATTTCATATAAATTCTTAAATAATATTTTCTTCCAATATTAAATATATTTTAAATTGGGCCATGTCCAACAAGAGTCTGTGAAAATCACTGTACAATTACATATGTGGAAATTTAATTCAGTAATGCAGAATAACTGATATAAACACAGCTTGGATTGATTTTTGCAATTTGCAATGTCAAGATTTTAAAGAAAGTCATACGATTTTCTTCAATAATCAAATGCTTTAAAAGACAAATTTTGAAATGAAAACCTCAAATCAAGAATTTGCTCTATGTAATATAAACAATTGTGAATATATTCATTTATTTTGGACATCAGCACTGGTAGAGGTAAATTCTGCAAGGGGTCATTAAACCAACATAAAAATATGCTTTCTGGAAACATCGAAAAAATTTCTAGAACATCTAAGCACTAAGGTGTTGTGATGGCCTTGTGGTTATAGCATTGGACTTAGCTATGTTGGATCATAATTCGAAGGTCCCAAGTTCAAGTCCCATGCCCACTGCCTTATCCAGGATGTAATAACTTGAGTAGGTAATTCCAAAATAAAAAAAATTACATTACATCCAAAAATAATAGCTTATTATGCATTAGTGGTTGCTTGTGCCCTGTTTAAAGTGAACAATATAATAACAAAAGTGTAATTAGAATTTAATTGCTATTTGGGGGCAGAAAAATCGTATTTGGAAGATTTAATGTTAAACATAAAATCAATGTAAATTATTACAACAAGAATCTTGGTTCCAGTGAATACATAATTTGATATTCAACCAACTGAATTCATTACATGACTCACATTCAGACTTCCAGCAGGGAATGAGTAAGTAATGGCACAAGTGCCACACCATTCATATCCTGGCAGTGATTCAGGCAACCTTTCCACTGACCCTTTTCCAGGTGGTTGTCGGTTGATGATTCTTAGACCAGATGAAGTAGCTTGACTTGAAGACTGAGATTCTGGAAATTGAAAATTATTTTAGTGAAAAGGATTAGGCAGGATTCAAGTTATACATATTGTGATATTATATAATACATTAACAAACAACTTTTTGTAATTTTTAAATCCACGAAATCCCTAAGCCCCCATGCCCAATACTGATCCCCCAAGTTGGATATTATATTTTTACTAATGCTTTTGGATTTAAGCAGTATTGACTTTTTTTATATGACACTTAAATACACCTTCGCTCTTACCTCTGTTATAGACACTCCCTGGGCAAGCCAGGAGTCGAGTGAAAATTCAGTAAATAAATCAGCTCAATGGTCTTGAACCAAGTTTTAACCACGCACCAAAAAGTGGGAGCTGGTGAGGTGTCGGGTGTGGGTTTTTTTTTCAACCTCGTTACTTTTAAATCATAAATACTGGAAACTCGAGCCGAGTGGAAGTCACCCATTTTCCTAATTATGGTAAATATTGAACCAGTATTTATGTTTTCCATGAAATATCACAAAGTTCAGAATTATAAAACAATAAGCCAGATATAAACAATCAATAGTGATTTAATGCTCAGTGCTCACTTTAGTTATCTACGTTAGGGCTTAAATAGTGCATGATTGCCACCAGGTAAACTCATGTTGATAATAAATGAAGCACAACCGGTAATTTGCCGATGTTTCGAATTTCTATACAGAAAAACTTCATCATGGCATGATATGGAAAGGACACAAGTGCCTTATATATATCCACTTGTGTCCTTTCCATATCATGCCCTGATGAAGTTTTCTGTATAGAAATTCGAAATGTCGGCAAATTACATCGTTTTGCTAACACCGGTTGTGCTTCATTTATTATCAATACGTCAGGGCTTCCCAAACGTTTGAGCTCGCGGCCCCTTTAATATATTAAAATTTTCCAAGACCCTTGCCCCACACTAATAATGATAAACAGTTTGAAATATGCATTTTTAATATTTTATTGACACAACTAATTCTCAACTTTTAGTAGGCCTACTCAATAACAAAAACAAGCAAATATTTACTCAGATTAATGTTACTCAATTAATTATTCAGTGTAATGGGTGATAATGCTTTTGCTACATAGCAAGTCCAGTCTTGGCTCAATGTTTGTTTATGTAGACCTAAATGATGAATTACGATGTCTGGCCACCGACGGCATGGTCCTTATCCGGAATTGTTACGTACTCTTATTGAACAAATTTAGCATAAAGCGGCAGTTTGTGCGACGCCAAATTATCAGGGAAAAAAACTCACGCCGCACCTACACGAAAAATATGCTGCCTCAAGATAAAACACAATTTTGTCATCGTTAATGTGTACTTTATGCCTTTTGAGGTTTATTAACATGTAGGCCTAATGAATAAAGACAAAAGTTAACTTTTATTTCTTACCCCTGCCTAGTTTTTTTTAATGCTAAAAAATCACTCACGTTCGATAATCTCGGTTCAGCAAATGAATAAACTGCAGCCTACGAAATTGCAGCATGTGGGGTTTATCTCTAATGTTACGTAACAATAGACCCTACTTAACAGAAGTAAACAACATAGAATGGTAAAGTGAATTTGATTCATATACACATCATTTACAATATTGAGAAACAATAACACATTTAGAATAAATGAAATATGTGAAATATTCAATCATATATTAGTTAATATTTGACACAAATATCCTAATTTTCGAAGCGCACTTAGCAAATCGGGTCCTACGATCAGAATATTCATTGTTATGCAAACTCGATGATTGAGCCGTGTTTCCCCGAAAATAAGAACAAGCCTTAATTTTAAAAATGACTTAGAAAATAGACTTAGTCTATAGCGCAATTTTTTTGGACTTAGTCCCGTGGTTCTCAAAGTGCGTTGATTCAATTTTGTCAGGGCGTCGCAAAATTTTGTGATTCGTGCGTGAACCTTTCAACCATCCCATATCTTCTATTTTTACTAAAACACCAATACTGCGAGAAATTATTTTGGTTTGTGATTTTGTACCAGTGTAGCCGCTTGGTTACCGAAAATACAATGCAAATTGTTTTATCCGGCGATTGAACCTTAATTATGTGTTTGACAAGTATGGTATTGATTGACAGGCAGAGTCTTGATCGAGTAATTATTAACTTTTAGGTTTCGATCCTTTGCGAAAGCGCTTTGTTAGTTCGCGCACATGTTTAAAATCTACAAGTAGGCTACGTGTTTTGTCCACACCGCCTTCACACAACAGTGAACATTTTCGTATTGCAATATTACGCATTTAGACGTTTCATACAGAATTTTGAATTGCTCCGAGCAGTCGAACACAAAACCACCAAGTCCTAGCATAATAAAGGCACTTAAAATATGTGATTCCGTACATCAGGGGTCGGCAACCTACGGTCCTACGAATCCGGCCCGCGGAGCACTATAATTCAGCCCGCGACGCTTCACTAAATTATAGTAACAAACCATCCTTTTGACGAATATATATTTTTTAGACTACATTTTATTATAACCTAACAATTATATAATTCATAATTACTTGTTTAATGAGCAAATGGCAACAAAAATAAAATACGATTTTCACCCTGTTTTTTTCACAAGCACCAATACTTACGTAAGGGCGAACGTCTGAGTTTGGTTTTATATTGCTGGGAGACATATGTTTTCATATCGGCGACATATGTTAAAGACAACTATCAAGGCTTGAATTCTAGTTTTTATTCCGATTTTTATCTTTTGCGCCGGCTCTGATCTTTCTTGTCATCTTTTGCAAATTAATAACTGTCCCAATTTTAAGTAAACAATGTTATTATTTCTGACACCGGAATGCGGGTATTTATGAAGACGATGGTTGACCTTCTTATGATTTTACTATTTTATTGTGCCTGTTTATTTTCGTATTAAATAATAAATAAAAACCCTGCAAAGTCTTTGCGTGAATCCTGAATGTTATTTTGAATTCAAATGATGATTTAATAATTCAATGGCAATAATGGCAATTCTACTGATCAAATGATGATTCCTTGGAAAAATTTCGCACAATAATTTGTTACCTTGTTTGACATTTTAATTTTACGAAACGGCATTGGTGCGCTTTATGCAAAACTGAGAATTAAAACAATACCCAAATACGACTCCTCAAGTTTGTCGTTTCTGTTTCTCAGGAAGAACCGTGAGGTAATTTTCGCCAAATTCAAGGGATAGGTTTAGTGACGCGCAAGTCCCGTGCCCAAGCAAATCAGCCTAGGTAGTAGGTCCTCAATATATGAGTAGTGAAATGGCATTCTAATACGCAAGAGAATGAGGCCCGAAAGGTTATTGTTATGTAACGATACACGGCATGGTGTTTTTTGCTAGCGATCCAAGTTCGCACCCCCAAAATTATGGAAAGTGTCCGCCCCTGGATCTGAGAGATTGTTATACCGTGGTTTTCATACGATTCCATGTGTTATCAAATCTTCTGAGGTTTTCCGGGGCATTGCCGGACACAATCATATATTTTTTGAACGAATGTTCACCGTCAACGTCTACTTACAGTTGATATACAGGTACAGGTACGTTTCCAGTTGTGGGGTCGCAAGTATCTGTAGACTTTGATTTTATGAAAATTAGGGTCGCGAAAATAAAAGTTTGGAAACCACTGATCTACGCTATGAAACACAAATGCAAGAGATTGTACCTGATGTGTCACTTCTGTATCCACCCACTGCTCCCATCTGTGGTTCTTGGACATTCCTAGACTTGTGGCTACTTGATGAAGTATTGCCAAAGAAAGTTTCTGTATTTTCATCTCTAGTACTTGTAGCTCCAACTGTTAATTGCTGGGCTTGGTACGTTTCTGTTTCGACTCTAGTTTTTGAAGGTGCTGCTTGCTGAGGGGAAAGATCCATTGAAGACGACTTCTTCCTTGCTCGAGAAAATAATTCATCCATAAGAATATCGTAACATTTACGAGAATCTCTGACCAAAGTCTCAGAGCGGATCGTTTGTTCCAAGAATTGAAGAGGAAATTTTTGAAGATCAAGGAGGCCGAACAAATCTTGAAAATTTTTTTTCCTCTTTTGAATATCGTGCTTTATCCATCTAAGAGCTCCGTGCCATTTGATAGTCTCGGACGAATATTTTGTATTTGGGGATTTGTAAATCCTTATGATGTCATCCTTGCTGATATCACAGAACTCTTTTTTCTCAATGATTTGTTCAAAATTTGCTTCCAGGAATTGATTCATCACTTCCTTCACAGCATTTAGGTTGGTAGCTTGATTAGTTTCAGCCAGATTTTTCAGGATGAAGCAGTTGTCAATCTCAAGATTTGTCTCAAGATTCTTGACATCAGAGAATAATGCAGTGATGACTGAATTCTTTGCAATGTCATTACTTTTCACCAGTGGTTCTTCCAACACAGTCTCCAGAAGAAATTTGAAAGGATAAGTCTGGATATTGATGACTGTAACAAGGTCAGCAAAACATCTCTCTGCATCTTCATCTTTTGCTCTTGCCCATGTTATCATAGCTTGCCATGATGTTTGATAATTCATACTTGGAGTTTTCATGTAACGCAGGAGATCTGGCTTGATAATGAACGGGAACATCTCAGAGGAAATTACTGATTCGAAATTAGTGATAAGCACCTGTTCTGCTTGTTCTTTTATATCAAGGCGATCGTACATTTGAGCCAAATTGATGACAGAAAGACAATTGGTCTGAGAGAGATTGGTTTTCAAGTAATGGAAGCAAAAGTTAGTCAAGCCAACCATTTGTAACAGGTTGGATGCTTGCAGGATTTGTTGAACGTATTCCATTTTCAAATTTCCCACTCCTTTATACATGAATTCTATACATTGGGAAATTCCATTCTGATCGACATCCTTCATATTGATAAACCCATCACGAGATTCCTTCATTTTGCTTGTAAACATCGCTTTGAAGTATCCTGACGAGGCTGCCAAGACACAGCGATGAGCACAGAAGGATTTGTCACCAACTTTCACATCGAAATCGCAGAGAATGTTTTGTTCTCTCAAGCTATCAATGATGTCATAAGCAAACCGGCTTGGGTTGAATTTGTTTGTTTAATGTAATCTTCATTCATGATCATTCAGCTCGACCTTGCTCAGATCAGTAACTAAATATAACAATCCTAACACCTGCATATAGATAATACCATTTTGTTAACGGCTGTGGTTTCTCTTCCAAATCAAAACTACATTTTATTATTGAACATAATAGGTGATTTTGCTCATGTCAGCATGTTACTTTACGGTTGCAGGTCTGAATTCCTGGGAAAATTATCAAATGAGAATTCTCGCCATCAAAATGATGAGGAAATGTGACTTCTGAGTTGTTTTGATTATTTCCAACTATGGCCATGAACCCAAAATATTCAATTGCTTAGAAACGGCCTGTGATTACCGTACTTACTCTCCTATCACATATCAGGACTAGTTTTACTCTGATTCATTCGAAGTATATGAGTATAAGATAGTGATAGATTGGAATAGTCTACCCATGCTATATCATGTGTATATCATAGTTCCCACCTCAGATAATATATATCACGTTTTAATGCAGGTCAATTACAATACAAGACTTCTAAACATACAATATATTTATTGCGGTTGGTAAAAGTGAAATGGCATTTTCTCGAAATCTTCAGTTTCATAGCTAAATAGGACAGATCTGTTTTGTAGAACGTGAGCTGTGCTGCATTAAGTGGGGATTCCCATAACTACTTCTCAAAAACAAAATAATGGATTGACAAAAAGTTTCTTTGCTAATATCTGAATATAGTACATTTGGTATAGTATATTTGGCTCGACTATTATAAGTTTATTTCGATTCTACGAATGAACACCGTAGGCTATATTAGTATAAGTTTATTTTGCCTATAATCAGAATAACAATAAAAGGATTGATAAAAATAAATAAATAAAAACTGATTATGAAATCAGAAGAGCAAACAAAACCTTAGATAAGGTTTAAAACGTATAGAATATAAGATGAAAGATTTTGCCAAGAAGTGTAACGTGTTCTCTCACCTAAAATTATTTTACACATGAGGCTACCCACCGACACCCCCACACACAACCACAGAGAAATTAACAATCATAGTGACCGGTACCCGGACCGTACTCTGCTGATACACCGCATTAACTTATATTCAGTTGCATAGACTGATAAAGGATATTTCCACTGAACCGCATTCGCCCAACATACTGGTTGAATTACAATATAATTGCATGCATTCAATCATTGAATATAAATGGTGTCTACAACAACAAAAGTCGCAGGCTGATGTCTCATCCACGATAAACCTGAATTGACATCTATTACGCCACAATAATTAAATGAAGAAATGATCCTGCAAAATAACAATACTAATTCCTTTATTCCTAATTCCTTTATCCTTGCAGAAGTCAATATCTAAGAATGAAAAAAAAAAAAAAAAACTTATAACCTTAGCAACCAACATATTCCTATACCCTGTCTTTCTACCTTAATTAATTATAATTACTCATACCTATAAAGTTACTGATAGATTCAAATACTTATTACAATCTGGACTATAATTTGGCAATAATAGGCTCTAGTTTGGGCAATGAAGTGGTCTAGCCCACCTCTTCATCCACCCAATTCTGGCAACTTTGGTTGGGCATTTTGGCATTTGACTCCATCTATAATCAGCTTGACAATATATTTTTTTATAAAAGTTTATCTTTACTGTTCACTCCCATTTATAAAATTGATCAATTTGGCAGTGGCAATCATCATAAATTTATTAATATGGTGTGGCAAGTAATTTTTATTTATTTATTTTTTATTATTTACCAGTATGTAATTTTTCATGTTCCCTTTACTTAATAACTTCTATATGGTTGTGTGTGTGGGTGCGTGTGAGCGTGTGTGAAATATTTCAATTATTTTAGGTGAGTGAACACGTACCACATCTTCTTGGCAAAACCTCCCATCTTATATACATTCTGTACGTTTTAAACCTCATCTGTGTTTTGTTCGCTCTCCTGATTTCATAATCAGTTTTTATTTATTTATTTTTACCATTCATTTTATTGTTTTGCTGATTATGGAGTCGAAATAAACTTACACTTATACTCAGTTTCAAATGCAGCACATCGCAGTCGTGCAAAAATCTTAACATTTGCAACAGTGTAACTTTAACCTTTCACCTCTACTGTTCGTGTAAGTTGTCAAGCCGAGAGGCTTTAAACTGACAAATAAAAACGCTGATATCAACTGATACTCATCTAATAAGCATGGTTGAAAGTTGTTTTAATAAAAATAAGTGAAAAATTGAGTAAAGAAATGATGCACCCTGATATTACGTAACAATTCGAATAAAACGTCATTGCTTGTCTGTTTTGAATTACATCTGGCAACCCTGGTTTTAACCAAAAATTGTGCATATTCACGACGTCATAAATAAAAGAACTGTTTTGGGATTAATCATTATGATATAATAATTTCACCCCGAAATATTTGCTAATCTATGCGAGCATGCCAGCATTGACCTGCTTCGAGGCAAAGATCAAGCATTTTCTGTGTGGGAGACAGTTCAGTATAAAGTATTGGATATGGATGTGGTGTTGCGGTCGTTCTGTGGAATATTCAAATGGCAAAGGATCGCGGTCTCGAATTACTATGCATTGGACTATTTATTTCCTACAGGCACACTAAAAGTCAGAAACGCTAGGGCACATAAGCACAGGTCAGTGGAAGATAGAATTTCTCGCTATTTATTGCGGGGTTGTTGAACCGGATAAGACTTACAACCGGGAGTGCCACGGGTGATGAAAGACATTACGAACCCCCACGACGAAATATATTATATTTACACCGTAAATAAACTGCCAGATTGGTTGGGACAATATAAGTATAAAAAAGACAGAAAATTGTCCTCAGGTAATTTTGCTCCATGACACTTTATAGCAGGTTCATTGTAGAGTTGAGACGACATATGTGTGAATATACATTATACTACATTGTGATCTAATACAACACTGATCAGTGATCACCATAATACAGTGTTTTCCAACCTATTATTCCAACCTATTTTTATTCCCCACATACTAAAGCATCAAAAACAAATTGTTAAAACTTTCTTCAATTGCGGCCGGTTGGAAACCCCCTGCCGTAATAGAAACGGGCTCAGTTTAGAAAATATATAAAGAATATGGCAATAAGAATATAAAGTATATGCTTTCATAAGGCATTTCTCCTTAATGGATCTCACTAAAATCCGCCTGCCAATCTCCGGGTCCAAGTTTGATAAAAGTATAGTTAGTTAGTGATAAGCCCGAGTGGAGTCCATCATATTGAAATCGCAAACTCGATAACTTGAGAATCAAAACCAATCAAAACATTTGGTGCTCGCGTGGTATGTGCACCAAGATGGCGCACAACCTGAACATAGTACGTGTACCAGGTTGGGGTTCAGGTTGTGCGCCGTCTTGTTGCACATACAACGAAAGCGCCAAAAATTTTACCTGCGTATAAAGGAAAATTCAGCAACAAAATATAACTAGCGCTTAAAATCTAATGGCTGTTAAATTCAAGAAGCAATAATGAGGCTATACCGAAAGCGCAATACTCGGAAACGATTTATCATGCAAGTGAGCAAATGTACGATGGTGATAAGCGAAATGTGTTTGAGCGCACGTATCATAGAATAAGTCATTATTCAAAACAAAGTGAAAATTTATTCACCTTAATGTAGGACAAATGCAAAACGATTGTAACAATACGTAACTATGGAATTTACCTCGGTATGCAAATTTTACAATTTAGAATCGAATTTATTCGAATCACTACAATTTTTTGTAAATACAGCGTGATTTTTTAACGATTGTAGAAATACGTAACTATGAAATTTACGTCGATATGTGAGTCGAATCAATTCGAATTAAACACAAGTTCGAATTGTCGTAAAATCCGCCGTGATTTATTGAAAGAAAGAATATTAACTGTAAAACGCGAGACAATTGCATGCTAATTGTGGCTAATGGGAAAACAATTAATGTAGGGGTGTGCAACCTTTTTGTCTATTGGCGGTCGCAATACGGTTTTGAAAGAAAAACTACGGCCGATCGAAGTTTTTTTACGCGGTATATTAAATTAAAAAATTGGTTTTCATTGGCATCTCATTGACTTGCGTCTAAAACATTTAGGAAGCGATAAAATTTAAACAAATGTGCTGAATGAAAATTACTTGGAGTGGTCGAATTGAATAATTCCAACGAATGAAATATGTTCGACTATTTTCATCCACATTCGCTAGCGAGGCCTAGGCACGGAGGGTCCGAAAAAAATGTTAACAGTGCGCCCTTTTTTTCCTAGAATGATTATTTCTTTGGCAGCATTCAAATGCGATATCCTACCGCTGATTTCCCCCGTAAAACGAGTATTACCAATTTTTGCGCCGTGGTGGACATAAAAGTTTAATTTATTTTTTTTTCTCGCAGAACTGTACATTTAGCGATTAGTCAGACGAACGCAAATGTCGCCTAAGCAACCATCGCCACCGCCAATAACTAATGAAATTATGGCATTACAAATAATGTTGCATTGTGCTTATTTTGCGGCTGAAACACAGGTCATTACCACCGCAGGTCGTGCACCCCCGAGTTGATGTAACCGCTGCTCAGTTACGGTACGGCTTTCGCGCACAGTCAAGTTTATACACCAAGACAGATTGTTTTTATAACCGATATATATTGTTAATTAATACAAATCATTTGCTATAGCTCATCTTGTGTAGGCAAGACCACACGCGTATGGGAAATCGCCTGTTTTGTCGTTAGCCTTATCACTCGGAATGGTGTGCTGAAACTAATTAGACCCAACTTGACAGTATTTTCATCATGAAAGAAAGGCCTAGCGACCATGACCATGATGTTCAAGCATCTTATATTTTTCTTTGCAAAAGACTTGCGGCAAGCCTGTGGAACACAGTCACGCAGATTGTCAAAGAAAAAAAACACTTTATTTTATTCCTACGATCAAAACCAGGTTACAATTATGTGCTCAAAAGTCACATAGATTGTCAGATAATATAAACTTTTTTAATTTCTACCACTAAAACCATGCTACTTCTATAAATGCAAAAGCAATGATACTAATATAATACCAAAAAATATCAAAATACGGCCATCAACTACAAAATGGAAAATTTATTCAATGGACGATTAAATTTCTGTCACATCATGCAAAACATTTTAAAAGTTATACAACCATCAATAAATTGCAGACGAGAATATCGGTCAGAGACCGAAGACTTATCGATCGAAAGTTAGGGGATCCCCCAAAACAGCGCTCTTACTCCATAGTGACACCTTGTGTCCCATCACTAATTAATTAATAACTCGCTAATTATACGACATAATTCATCCAAAATCAATAGGCTTCTGGTACGACATATGATGAATGCACATGCAAAATCTGCAGCAGATTCAATCTCGCTTTCGTGAGATATCGCGTGTATCTAACAGACAAATATCTATCAACATACTTACCGATTAAAATCGATAAGTAATAAGGATCTATAAGTGTTACTTTGATGTGCAATATCAGCATTTGTATCCCAACCTAAAACATACCATCCAATCCCATTCACCTACGAGCTTATTTGCCTATGAGCAGTGTATTTATGATATTTTCCAAGGTTACCAGAGTTACAACTGTCGCGTTTGCATACCCATACCAAAGCATTGCCTTATTTTTCAGGGAGGCATCCCCTATTTTATTCCAAATGCAAAAAAAGGGTTATACTTCTGGATTATGTAAAAGATGGTTGATTACTGGTAAGTGCGAGTTGACCACTGGACCCTTGGATGGTTTGCTGGGTGACTATTTTAATAGTCAAATATTCTGGTAACATGCCATAGTCTGCCATAATTGAACGAAGCTATCCCATGAGGTTTCATGGTGGATAAATACACATGAATGTAAGTTTGCTCATAGCTGGCTCAATAACAATATTGTATGGGCCATAACATAAATGAAAAAACATCACTATGAACAATATTAAGTATAATTACTATGCAATGAGAGAAAAATAATAAAATACTGAATATTTATAAAATTGGATACACTGGTGATAATTTGAATCACATAACATACATTATATATAAACTTTAGATAGGAAATGCATTGTTGTATCACAGTCATTTAGGTATAAATATAGAATGTTCCAGCAAGAAAATTCTATTAAAAACAGACACTGGTATAAATAAGGGAGAAAGTAAGAGCTAGAAAACATATACAGTGGGTGCTAAATGTTCAAATATAATATCACAGTGGTCAAATAACTGAAGGCAAAGGTAAAAAAAACATTCAAATTAAGGTTAAAGCATATGGTTCAAAAATAGTATTGAAAAAGCTAATGGAGGCTAATATGGTGGTATCCTTTGGTTAATTACAGCTTCCGCCACCAATCAAGTTCATGATACATCTGAACATAGATCCGATCTCTGTTAAGGTGAGAATTTAATATCAGGTGTGACTTAGGTTCGAAGGTTGAGATTTACATATCCGTGAATGGGCGTGGATTGTATTTCCGCTTGAAGTTTGGGTTCAACGGTGAGATTTCAAGTTCAGGTTCATTGTCAAGGGAAAGATAAAGAGCCCGATGCCCCACAAGGGTGCTACTAATAATGAATCGGAAAGATTCTGTATTTTGCAATGAAATAAGCAGACTATGCCATGCATCATATTCATACCAATTCAGGTTTCTCTCTAATATAGAAGATATTCCCCGATTGGCTGCCTAGTTGGAGTAAAACTTGTGAGAAGTATTCAAAAACCTGACTCAAAGCATCCTTTTTTCAATAAACACAAAAATACTTTTTGTGAAGTCTTGAAACAACTTTTCCCAGTATGATAATGACTAACATAATTGATAGTAATCAAGATGGAACTGATTAACAGTGGAAGAATAAAATGTGTAAAAACGGGTCAAATATGCAATCAAAGTGAGTAACAATACATGAGTCTGGAAGTCAATCTACAAATACCGTATTTGCTCGTTTTGTAGCCCGGGCCCATATTTTTTTCAACCAACTCACTAACCGAGCCCTCATACAAACCGCCCCTTATTCAAGCACGGGCGCTTGATCGTTACAATAATTAATATATTGTTATTTCCAGTTCTCAATTATAATTTAAACGAGAATAACGAAAATTTTGACTTTTTCTACGCACCGCAGGTACAAATCCGCAAATAAAGAAAAGTTTTGCGACGCCCTATCAATATTGAAACGGCGCACTTGGGCGAGTTCACGTCGAATCCCGGTTTTTGCCCGCTGTTCCGTTTTTACCTTTCAAAAATATATGCGACCCGCAAAAGATTAGCAACCCTAAATGTAAAATGGGGTGAATTTAGGGAGTTAAGTGCTATAAGGCAAGAGTACACGGCAATTTTGAGGAGGTTGAACTCTAGATTCTTTCATTTCCGACCGCTAATATGATGAGGGGTTTTCAGCTGTGCTATTATTGCTATCAAAATAACGAAATCGCCTTTCCATCAGTAAAGAGGGTAATTTTAGATATTAAAAAAAACTCGCTGAAGAACACCAAGCTCATCCATCTCATTAAAAAATACTATGAACTATGATTTGTCTCGTTATTCGGTCTGTAATATATTCATTTCAGACTTTACATTTTTTTCGCATTTTTATAAACTACTGTAGGGGGGCGATGGTACCAAAAATGTTTGGAAACCACTGGTATAGAGTTTGATTTAAAAACGAAAGGTTGAGTCAAATCCCACTGATATTGCAGTTCATCAAACATTATAATATTCAGTAAGTGGCATAATGGAATGCTTGATAATGACAATATAAAATCAACGGAGGGGTTCTAATATTATATTGTCCATGTGCAACGTCCATTGTTGATTTTGTATTGTTAGTATTCAATTTCTACACAACTTTTACAAGATAGCTATAGGTGGTTACGGTAGGTTTAGATGGATTTTCCACCCCGTTCAGGCAATTTAGGGTCTGTTCCGGTAATGACAGGAACTTATTTTTTACCACTGTACCCCCAATGTTTGCTGTTTTATTTTGAAAATTGCCTTGAGATATATAAAATGTCCTTTAAAGATATCCGAGTCAATCTGACTGATATTGCAGTTCACCGAAATTTATAATATTTATAAGTGTCTTGATGGAATGCTTGATAATGGCACCACAAAATCAATGAATGAGACAATATAGTATTGTCCGTAGACGAATACTAATATATCCGGATAGTGTTGAATGTCCATTGTTGATCATCTATTGTTAGTATTCAATTCCTGCTGCCTTTAATTTCGTCTTCAATGCTTTATACAGTTTATCGAGATGGTCATCATCAGGATATCCATGGCTGAAAAAGATTAGATTGCATGAGAGATAATGGTAGTTGCATAGGAGTCTGATTTCAAATAACTGTAAAAAATAAGATGTTCGATACAAGAACACTGAAAGTCACAAATATTTGACTCCTTAGTACTAAGAAACGCTTAACTTAGCAATGCCTGTGTAAGTGAGATTTGAATGTAAGGTTTAGATGTGTAAAAAGAATGTCAAGTCAACTTTACTCGTAGGTAAAGATGAATGTCTAAACAGGTAATTTTTTCAGGTATTTGATTTCATTGATACTGTACTATAATATGGAAACATCAAAATCACTAACTAAGCCCAACACCTTATTCATGGTGCAAGGGAAGGCTTCGCCGAACATTGAACATTTTAGAGATTTGAAACAGAGTAATGCCCCAAAGTCTTATTGTCTGCTTGAACAGAGCACTGATCAAACCGAAGTTGTAAAACCACCAAATAAAATATATATTCATGATACGCGATGGCATAATGGTTGAAGTATTATTAAACCTAATTGGGTTGGCATCGCAACTGCACATCTTGGTTCAAATTCAATGGCCATCACCCTACCCAAAATATTGAGTCGGCAATGCCGAACCAAAAAAGAAACTAGTTCTGCCAAATATTAGTAGCTCTTTAAATATTGCTACATATCAGTGGAAGCTTAAACAGGGCTTTGTTCACAGCAAAATGTGTGGATAAGCGTCGTTTATATAAAAACTCAAAGATCTCGAATATAATAGAATGTTAAGAATAAGCAGTGTAAGTGTAACTATAATTCATATGTTGGATGCCCAATGAAACATTGACAACAGAGAAGCAGAAAATTTAGGTGTTACTGGAATACGGATCAAATAGTTACAAAATTGGGCAACCATAATTCCAATGACAGATGTGACAACAGAGAAACCTAGTAAACGACAGCTGGTCGTTCAACTTGGTTACAGTCACGTTGCAAACAATTCAAGCCTGAATACCATAATGGTTGATTCTAATTGTCACTAGGAAATTACCCTCAGTCACATACACCCTAACATTTTGCAACAGCATGACAAGTCATGGTCATATTTATCAGGAATAGAAAGAACGCTTCCTGGCCATCCCTCACCCATCAACTGAAATTTGATGGATGCGATGGTTTCTTATATATAGCCTTGTTCAAAGTGAACGGTGTATGAAAGATGGGTATAAACAAATTTGGATGTTGCTTGAAATCAAGAGAGGAAAGTTGAGAAAGTTGTACTTGATTTTACCTAGAACGAGGCATTATATATGTGGTTGAGTGGTTGCAAATATCACAAGCTGGATGGATAGTTATGGGACCAAACTGCAACCCAAACATGCCTTTCTTTGATTTATATATAAAAGTTTGCAAAATAGTGTTTAATACAAATCATGACTTTTCATGTGAAAGTCCGTTTATCTAACTTTGCATGGAAGGTCAGTTTGGAAAACAAATATTGATTTGGCTGATCTTAATTTTTGCAATTCACATTTTTCCAAAATTTTGAATCTCAAATTTTGTTTGAACTAATTTTACACATCTCACTGTTACTTCATATACCTTACTCGAGGTTCCTTTTAATCCTTATACCAGGAGTTCCCAAACCAGGGGTCCCGACAGCAAATTGGGTCAGAGTGATAAGTAGGTGGGGTCGCAAACAGGTTTTGGGGTCGCTGAGGTAAGATATAGGATGGATGTGCAAAACATCTAAGATTTGACGAACCATGTTAAATTTAGCAGTTTGTACCGTGGCTTACTGTAAATAGGCATAGGCTCATAGGCATCGCTCTATGCTTATGCTATAGAAAATGTAGGTGCTTATTGTGACACCACTGTTTGGTTTTAGCTTATTTTACTTAATATCACCACATGACCAAACTCAAAAGTCCAGTGAAAGAAGCTCTAAAGTTCCATGAAAAATATATATATTGACCTGGGGTCGCACTGGACAATTGGATGTTGTCTTTGGGGTCGTCCTGAAAAAGGCTTGGGAACCCCTGCCTTATTCCAGTCACACAGATGTTAGAATATTCAACTGAACAACTTACTCATTTGGACCTCCACGTTTGTTAGTCTTACGAGGAAATTCATCATTCCATATTATCTTTCCTCGGCTGCTTCCAATTATCTGAATCTTGAAGAGCAATCCTGCATTGAATGCTTCCTGGAGCAAGTTCTTAAGGTACGGGGCAAAAGGCAAATATTCAGTGAACTTCTTTGCCTCATATGAAACACCCTGCAAAAATAAACATAATAAGTTATTCAACTTCCATCTCTGATAATTTATTGAAACTGATATAAACACAGGTGCTCCAGAAGTATGCGCACCAAGATGTCGCACAACCTGAATCCTAACCGGTACACACATACTATGTTCAGGTTGTGCGCCATCTTGGTGTGCATACTTCTGGAGGTCCAAAAGCTTTAAACTAAAATTTCTGCAACTCAGAATCGTTTCGAATAAATTCAACGATTCCTAAGAAGCAAACAGTTGCAAAAGCATTTTTAGGTGATTTTAGTTGGGATGTTTTCAAATACTCGCTCTAAACAAGGCACAAAACAAGCAGGCACTGATACGTAAATACCTTAATTGATTGATTGGAATCTTTCTCACTAAACATTGACTATCAAAACATTTGATTTCTAGGTCAGGAGGAGGGCACACATTTGAACCAAAGATGTTTTACATGTGCAAACAAGTAAAATATCCTCAGGAAACATATAATCAGTGACACCTTGTTCAGAGTTGCCTTCACATAACATTTATTAAAAAAAAATTTTAATTTTTCAAAAAAGAAATGAAACATAATATATCTATGATTGGGAGCAGAGTTAGAATATGATGACACTAACATTTTACTGATACACAAAAAATCCACTGATATGTAAGAGGTTATTTAAAAAAAAACCAAAGGACCAACATTTTTTCAGGCAGAGCATTGCTTGCCAATTTACATACATTGTTGGGGAGATCGTCGATCTGGGATTTGAAGATTAATGTGAAGAGAAGTAGCCAAACTACGTTGGCATCACATGTTAAAAATCCTGGATTCAAGCACATTACTCAGTGTATAATGAAATAGGTAGGAGTGTAAGATAAATTAGGTTGGCAATGCAATCAGACAGATTTCAGTACTACAATAAATAGTAGTGCCTTGTGTATCAGTGGCTGCTCATACACAAAGTGACTATAAACCAAGTGGAGACACCGAGTGCAATGATGCATATCGGACGTCATTTTGTGTCCAGCCAATCGGGGGAAAGCGGCAGCGTCGGTTTGTTTTAGCTTCGTCAGTAGGTCTCGTTCGTCAATTTGTTTGAAGATTTTTTATTGTTTTGCATTTTATTCGGGTAATTTCATTATTTTTTATTTGCTATTTGCCTCGTGGAATCATACTGGTAATCATACCGTGCGGTTTCGTGAAAGTTGCGATAGTTATCTTATCATCCCGTGTGAGTTATACAACTTCGAAACCCCATATCTCACGAACCTTATATTATATGCAGAAAAGTTTTATATTGTTTGAAAAACAGTCTAGGAGAATAATTACAATAATGAGATGGAAATTAAATGTCGCGATTATCATACAAAAATCGGCAAAATTGAAAAGCGTGGAATTTTTTTGAAACGCTTTTGAACTAAATAACAAAAACTTCGATTTGCTTGTTTTAACCTAATATGACATTGACACATTTGCATAGGTTAAGAATATCTCTCGATATTAGGTATAATTTGTCGTGCACCAGTAAAATTGTATAAGTTATTTCATTCAATGTCCTCCAATTCTTGAAATGTCCACTGCGCCAACTTGAGTTAAACAACAACGTTCCCTAATTATTTAGTCACGCAATTACGTCGCAACGTTCCGTATAAAAAACACATATCGCTTTCCTTCGCAGGTGTGAAACGTCATTGACCTAATGCATACGTTTAAATCAGGTATTATTTGAACTGGTATTATGATACCTGTTCACACCATGCCGAAAGTTTAAAGCCTGCGTTTTACATTAATCATTCCAGAAGCTGATGGAATGAATTTTCTCGGATAAATGTTTCTTAATTTAACGAGCTGTTGCAACAGTTGCTTCATAAATTATAGAATGTAAACGATCTCATGGCTAGCACATTGTGCGGCCTGATGAATTTCATCGAAGCATGTACATTAAAAGGTACAAAATTTAAAAACCAGCCGCCGCGACTGGTGTTGCATCTCTTATCAACTTATTATTGGCAGGATATTTCGATTTTTTGCGTCGAAAAATGTAAAATATTTACTAGGTGATCTAGCGACGTCATCATGTCTTCTACGTTCTCGTTAATAAAACTTAATTGTAATTTCATCGATATCCAACAGTGAAAAATTAGCCTTGATGTTTCCGGGGGAACCCTATAAAGACACGGGGTTTAAATTGTTTGTTTGTTTCTATGGAAAGTGTCAATCCCGATGAATGCCCACAATCGTTACTAACTCTTTTCAGGTCTTACACACCTGATAAATATTTGAAAATCGATAGTTTTACCCAATATTTATGCCACCCATCCAAAAAAGCAATCGTATTTTGCGCGAAGTATAAACTATATTTCGCGCAAATATTAATGCATTTCATAATATATGTTCGCCTGTTACTTTTCTGACAGATAAAGTTGCTTGAAATATAATTTCCCATCTTGCCACAATATCGCTTTTAAAATTTTGAAACGTTTTTTAATTTAAGGTTAAATATTCACGCAAAAGAGGAACCCAAATAAAATGATTGAAAACGGTATGCTAGTAGACCTGCGGCAAGAGCTCAAGTCAAATAGATAATATATTATTTCATACACTCCAGATTATTATATGTTCTTGTAAACTTGATATACGCCGTTATCCTCCATTCTATGCATGTAGTATATTTTTTGGATATTATTTTGGCAATGTACACCTTGTTGAAAATTTGCGATACGCATATTTTAATATCATGACATGTACCGCAAAAATAGTGCAAGTTTCTGTAGTATAATTTGTATTGTAGTTCCGTCAGTTTGTTAAAATAGGTTCTGCGCAAGTAGTGATAATTACACCAGGAATTTTATAATAATTCAATAATAAAATGTGTATCTTTTTGTTTAATATTCTGGTGTTATCGGGTTGTTGATTTATCGAGTGAAGTTGGATGACTTTAACCTTAACTTTGTATATGCTTACCATACCGCCAAGCCGAGTTATCTGAGAAACATCTGGTGATAATTAACTTTTCAGAAGAATGCTCATATGTTTTGCCGCTGTGAAAGTTTGGTCCGAGTTATTGAGCATCGTTTTTTTTAATCAGCTGTTCAACGATCGCAGGTTTAAATCACTTAGTTAGGATAATACAGCGATAGCACTCTGGACACAAAATGGCTGGTGTGACGTCACACGAGCGCTTTACCAATGGTTGTCCTCACTTGGTTTATAGTCACTTCGCTCATACATAGCCCTGTTTGAAATAAAAGACATGACGTTTCATAGAAAAAATTCATATGGTAAGTTTGTCATTTTGGCGTTTGGGATCTTATAGTCGGACAAAACTATCAGACTTAAGATGAATTATGATGATTATTGCCAAAATGATATCTTTTTTTTAATAATATTTTTTTTTTCAATATTAAATGTATTTTAAATTGGGCCAAGTCCAACAAGCGTTTGTGAAAATCACTGTACAATTACATATGTGGAAATTTAATTCAGTAATGCAGAATAACTGATATAAACACAGCTTGGATTGATATTTGCAATGTCAGATTTTAAAAAAAATCATAAAATCATACGATTTTCTTCAATAATCAAATGCTTTAAAAAAAAAAATTGAAATGAAAACCTGAAATCAAGAATTTGTTCTATGTAATACAAACAATTGTGAATATATTCATTTATTTTGGACATCAGCACTGGTAGAGGTAAATTCTGCAAGGGGTCATTGAACCAACGTAAAAAACTGCTTTCTGGAAACATCGGAAATAATTTCTAGAACATCTAAGCACTAAGGTGTTGTGATGGCCTTGTGGGTATAGCATTGGACTTAGCTATGTTGGATCATAATTTGAAGGTCTCAAGTTCAAGTCCCATGCCAACTGCCTTATCCAGGATGTAATAACTTGAGTAGGCAATGCCGAAACAAAAATTACATCCCATACAAAAATAATAGCTTATTATGCATTAGTGGTTGCTTGAGCAGAGCCCTGTTTAAAGTGAACAATATAATAACAAAGGTGTAATTACAATTCAATTGCTATTCGGGGGCAGAAAAATTGTATTTGAAAGATTTAATTTTAAACATAGAATCAATGTAAATTAATACAACAAGAATCTTGGTTTCAGAAAATACATGATTTAATATTGAACCAATTAAATTCATTACATGACTCACATTCAGACTTCCAGCAGGGAATGAGTAGGAGATGACATAAGTGCTCCACCCTTCATATCCTGGCAGTGATTCATCCAACCTTTCCACTGTCATTCTTCCACCAGGTGGATGTTGGTTGATGATTCTTAGACCAGATGAAGTAGCTTGACTTGAAGACTGAGATTCTGTAAATTGAAAAATTATTTTAGTGAAATGGATTAGGCAGGATTCAAGTTATACATATATTGTGATATTACATAATACATTAACGAACAACTTTTTTGTAATTTTTAAATCCACGAAATCCCTAAGCCCCCATGCCCAATACTGAGCTCAAGTTGGATATTATATTTTACTAATGCTTTTGGATTTGAACAGTGTTGAATTTTTTTATATGACACTCAAATACATTTTCGCGCTTACCTCTGTTATAGACACTCCCTGGGAAAGCCGGGAGTCGAGTGAAATCTGCAAATAAATCTTGGTCTCTTGGCACCAAAACGTGGGAGCCACTGATATGCAAGGATCTACTATTATTTGGAAGAAAAGGCATTGCCTACCCCAATCTGTTACACGCTGGTGAGGTGTCGGGTGTGGGATTTTTTTTCAACATCGTTACTTTCAAATCATAAATACCGGAAACTCGAGCAGAGTGAAAGTCACCCATTTATTTTATTTTTTTATGTTTTCGATGAATTATCACAAAGTTCAGAATTATAAAACAATAAGCCAGATATAAACAATCAATAGTGATTTAATGCTCAGTGCTCACTTTAGTGATCTACGTCAGTGGTTCTCAACTGTGAGACGCGACCCCATTTTCCGGGGTCGCCAGATTTCTTCCAAACATGCGTACACAAGTGACTAGGATTTGAAAGTTGGAAAATCAAATTTGTACTGGTCGGCAGATACCGTAAAAGTGCCTAACTTCGGATTTTCAGCAATAACTCGCCCAAATTGCTCTGTGAAACTTTCATGCTGTACCTTTCCAGCTGGTCGGCAGGTACCGGTATTAGTAAATGTAATCAAGTGACAATGGTACAGCACCAATAATATTTTCCTTTTTTTATTGCTTTTTTTATCATGTTACATTCCAATGAGTGGTTGACCCGATGTTACGCGAATCGATTTTTGCCAGGCTGCGAGAAATTATTTTGGTTTGTGATTTAGCACCAGTGTAGCCGTTTGGTTACCGAAAATACAAAGCAAATTGTTTTATCCGGCGATTGGACCTTAATCAGGTGTTTGACAAGTATGGTATTGATTGACAGGCGGGGTCTTGACCGAGTAATTATTAACCTTAGGTTTCGATCCGTTGCGAAAATTTGTTAGCTCGAGCACATGTCTAAAATCTACAAGTAGGCTACGTGTTTTGTCCACACGGCCTCCACATAACAGTGAACATTTTCGTATTGCAATATTACGTATTTAAACGTTTCATACAGAATTTTGAATTGCTCAGAGCAGTCGAACACAAAACCACAAGTCCTAGCATAATAAAGGCACTTAAAATATGTGATTCCGTACATCAGGGGTCGGCAACCTACGGTCCTACGAATCCGGCACGCAGAGCACTATAATCCAGCCCGCCACGCTTCACTAAATTATAGTAACAAACCATCCGTTTTGACGAATATATATTTTTTAGACTAAATTTTATTAAAACCTAACAATTATATAATTCACAATTACTTGTTTAATGAGCAAATGGCAACAAAAATAAAAAAAACGATTTTCACCCTGTTTTTTTCACAAGCACCAATACTTACGTAAGGACGAACGTCTGAGTTTGGTTTTATATTGCTGGGAGACATATGCTTTCATATCGGCGACATATGTTAAAGACGACTATCAAGGCTTGAATTCCAGTTTTTATTCCGATTTTTATCTTTTGCGCCGGCTCTGATCTTTCTTGTCATCGTTTGCAAATTAATAAATGTCCCAATTTCAAGTAAACATTGTTATTATTTCTGACACTGGAATGTGGATATTTATGAAGACGATGGTTGAACTTCTTATGATTTTACTATTCTATTGTGCCTGTTTATTTTTGTATTAAATAATAAATAAAAACCCTGCAAAGTCTTTGCGTGAATCCTGAATGTTATTTCGAATTCAAATGATGATTTAATAACTCAATGGCAATAATGGCAATTCTACTGATCAAATAATGATTCCTTGGAAAAATTTCGCACAATAATTTGTTACCTTGTTTGACATTTTAATTTTACCAAACGACATTGGTGCGCTTTATGCAAAACTGAGAATTAAAACGATACCCAAATAGGACTCCTCAAGTTTGTCGTTTCTGTTTCTCAGCAAGAGCCGTGAGGTAATTTTCGCCAAATTCAAGGGATCGGTTTAGTGATGCGCAAGTCCCATACAAATGCAAGAGATTGTACCTGATGTGTCACTTCTGTATCTACCCACTGCTCCAATATGTAGTTCTTGGACATTCTTAGACCCGTGGCTACTTGATGCAGTATTGCCAAAGAAAGTTTCTGTATATTCACCTCTAGTACTTGTAGCTCCAACTGTTAATTGCTGGGCTTGGTACGTTTCTGTTTCGACTCTAGTGTTTGAAGGTGCTGCTTGCTGAGGGGAAAGATCCATTGAAGACGACTTCTTCCTTGCTCGAGAAAATAATTCATCCATAAGAATATCGTAACATTTACGAGAATCTCTGACCAAAGTCTCAGAGCGGATCGTTTGTTCCAAGAATTGAAGAGGAAATTTTTGGAGATCAAGGAGGCCGAACAAATCTTGAAAATTTTTTTTCCTCTTTTGAATATCGTGCTTTATCCATCTAAGAGCTCCGTGCCATTTAACAGTCTCGGAAGAATATTTTGTGTTTGGGGATTTGTAAATCACAATGATGTCATCCTTGCTGATATCACAGAACTCTTTTTTCTCAATGATTCGTTCAAAATGTGCTTCCAGGAATCGATTCATCACATTTTTCACAGCATCTAGGTTGGTAGCTTGATTAGTTTCAGCCAGATTTTTCAGGATGAAGCAGTTGTCAATCTCAAGATTCGTCTCAAGATTCTTGACATCAGAGAATAATGCAGTGATGACTGAATTCTTTGCAATGTCATTACTTTTCACCAGTGGTTCTTCCAACACAGTCTCCAGAAGAAATTTGAAAGGATAAGTCTGGATATTGATGACTGTAACAAGATCGGCAAAACATCTCTCTGCATCTTCATCTTTTGCTCTTGCCCATGTTATCATTGCTTGCCATGATGTTTGGTAATTCATACTTGGAGTTTTTATGTAACGCAGGAGATCTGGCTTGATAATGAACAAAAACATCTCGGAGGAAATTACTGATTGGAAATTAGTGATCAGAACATTTTCTGCTTGTTCTTTTATATCAAGGCGATCGTATGCTTGAGCCAAATTGATGACGGAAAGACAATTGGTATGAGAAAGATTGGTTTTCAAGTAATGGAAGCAAAAGTTAGTCAAGCCAACCATTTGTAACAGGTTGGATGCTTGCAGGATTTGTTGAACGTATTCCATTTTCAAATTTCCTACTCCTTTATACATGAATTCTATACATTGGGAAATCCCATTCTGATCGACATCCTTCATATTGATAAAACCATCACGAGATTCCTTCATTTTGCTTGAAAACATCGCTTTAAAGTATCCTGACGACGCTGCCAAGACACAGCGATGAGCACGGAACGATTTGTCACCAACTTGGACATCGAAATCGCAGAGAATGTTTTGTTCTCTCAAGCTATCGAGTGATGTCATAAGAAAACCAGCTTGGGTTGAATTTGTTTTTTTAATGTAATTTTTATTCATGATCAGTCAGCTCAACCTTACTCAGATCAGTAATTAAGTATAACAATTCTAACGCCTGCATGAAAATAATACCATTTTGTTAAGCTCTGTGGTTCATCTTCCAAGCCAAAACAACATTTTTTTTTAACATAATAGATGAATTTAAAAGTGTAACATATACTAAACATATACTTTAAAAGTGCAGGTCTGAATGTAGGTCATAGTATAAGATAATGATGGATTGTAATAGTCTTCCCATGTTATATTATGTACCATAAAAAGTAGAAATAGTCACTACCTCAGAGACTAATAAACCATACAATTATCTGATTATTGCGACTGGAGAAAATGGAATGGCATTTCTTCAAAATCTTTACAGCTTTATAGATAGAAAACACAGATATAGACTATTTTGCAATAAGTAAGGATTTGTATAAACTACTTTATCTTTGAAACGGAATAATGTACCGTATTTCACCGAGAAAAAGTTTTTTTTATCTGTGCTAATAGTAAGTTTATTGGATATCAACAAACTTTGGCCCTACTATTATTTGTCACATTATAATTATAAGTTTATTTCGACTCCATAATCTGATAATCAGCATAACAGGCAATAAAATGATTGGCAAACTGAAAATAAAAAAAACTGATTATGAAAACAGGACTCAAATCTGATAGGTACTATAAATAGATACGGAAACTAGACTACAGTTATTACAGTTCTTCTCTTACAGTCTTATCACTGTACCTATCACAGTCTGACAGCGCCACGGTACCGGTACCGCATGCGGGTGTCGCCAGATGAGAAATGATTCAATTGCATAAACTATTAGAGGATATTTTCCCCTGAACCGCCATCGCCCAACATACTGATTGATTCACAATATAACCTCATTTATCACTATGTTTTAAATGCAGTATAGTGAAGTTATGCAAAAATCTTAACATTCGCAACAGTCTGATTCTGACCTTTCACCTACACTCTCCGTGTAAGTTGCCAAGCCGGGTAGATTTGAATTAAAAAAAAACGCTGAGTGCAAGTGACTCAACCAATAAGCCTGGACCAAAAGTTGTTTCAAAAAAAAAAAAAAATCAAGGAATATTAGTTAAAAAAATTATGATAATTTATTGCAATACCGTATGACGTAACGTAACAATTCGGATAAAACGTCATTGCCCGTTTGTTCTGCATCAAACCTGGCAAATTTGCTCATACTAAAACCTTGCATATATATGACGTCACATGTCAAAGAATTGTTATAAACATTGATCTTTATGATGTAATAATTTCATCTTAAAATATTTGTTCATCTTTGCGAGCATTCTTATCGTTAATTTAGGCATAAGGTCCGTTTCTAAGCAAAGATCCAGCATTTTCTGTTTGAGAGACAGTTTAGTATAAAGAATTGGATATAGATGTAGTGTGGTGCACTCTCTGTGGATAATTCAAATGGAAATGGTCACGGTATAACGGACTATGCATTGGACTATTTCCACAGGCCCACTGAAAGCCAGGAACGCTAGACACATAAACACAGGTCAGTGTGAGATTGAATCTTTCGCTATTCATTATGCGGGGTTGTCTTATACTGAACTGATAAATATGTAAATCCTATCCTATCCTAACTGATAGGATTTACAACCGGATGTGCCACGGAGTGAAGGAAGATAACACGAACCCCGAATCACATGACGATAAAAACGCGTAATGTCCAACAAACCATTTACAAAATCATTTTCTTAACGTCTCAAAATACAAATACACGTGGGGTATTTCGCGTTCAGCCTTAGAGATTTTAATTCCATAAGCAATGCTTAAAGACATATTGAAATTTTTTTGTAGAATTAAAGTATCCATTTTAAACATTATTTTGTTTATGTCCGTATGCAGGACCGTCGAAGGTCATCGAGTTCCATTTTATTACCATTATTTTTATATCGTACCTGTGATCGAATACAATACGGATCGGTGGGCAGCATATTAGAGCCGGACTCGCCTGCCGAACACCGCCTGCTAATTTCGAAGTCCAAGTAAGATAAAAGTCTAGTTGTGATATTCCCAAGTGAAAATCGCACACTCCCAGAAAACTTGAGAGTTGATTTCAATTAAAAAATTTACCAGCGTATAAAGAAAAATTCATCAACAAAATATAACTAGCGTTTAAAATCTAATGGCTGATTCAAGAAGCAATAATGAGGCTATGCCGAAAGCACGATATTCGGAAAAGTTTCATCATACAAGTCAGCAAATGTACACTCGGGATGAGCAAAATGTGGTTTAGACGCGTGTTCAATAGAATGGCTCTACTTTGAGGATCATTTTGTTTTATTTATTTATTAAGTTCATACAAATCAGTTTATACATATTTTATGTATATATTTATAGTTTAAATAATTCAGCCAATTAAAGCTATTGTACAGCCACATCGGTTTCTCGAGCCTGTGGACGAATGTGAGAGATAAACACTCTTAACGCAGGCGAGAGAGGGGGTGCGATAGTCGAGCGCGAACAAATGTTTAATAGTTATTATAATAACCGTTTATTCGCAATAATATACACGAGAGCGTTCGGAGTACCTGACAATATCGTGAAAGATGCTCCGCCGCACGGGTAATATATGGTCTTCAAGAGTGAATTTTTATCTTTTGCGCCGGCTTCGATCTTTCTCCCCACCGTTTGTAAATTACTTGTCCCAATTTTAAACTAACAATATTACCATTTCTTACGCCGGAAAAGACGATAGTTAACCTTCTTATGATTTTACTTTTCCATTACGCCTGTTTTATTTTCGGATTAATTGAATAGTGAATAAAAACTCGAAAAGGTCATTGTGTGAATACTAAATGTTATTTTGAGTTCAAATAATGATTCAAATTGGAGAATTTCCCACGGCACCCCTGACAATATTTTACCGCCCACCGGTTGAAAAACACTGCTCTAGCATACTATGGTCTTTTCAAGCAAGGATAATTTACAGTCCTTTCGGTGCAGTTATTGCGGGATTGTTAAAATAATAATAATAATAAAACAACACATAATGCAGTTTTCGGTATGTGACTGGGTGATAACGATACGATCATATACGGTCACCTAAATCAGTTACCACCCAATGCGAATACTTGTATGAATAAATCCAAACAGGTTCTGTTACAATATGAACTCTCAGTATATATATGGATATAACTATATACATTATACACAGAAATAATCTGAATTGGTATCTCATTGGATTGCGTCTAAAACATTTAGGAAATAATAAAATTTAAACGAATGTGCCTAATAAAATTTAATTGACTCCCTGCAGTATAAAATTTCTAGTCCGAAAAAAATGTTGACAGTGCGACGTATTTCTTCCTAGCATGAAAATTTCTCTGGTAGCATTCAAAAGCGTTGTTTCTCCCCGTCAAGCAGGGTTGCCATATTGGCTTTTTTAACGCCAAATTTGCCATTTTTCAAACGCGTTTGGCGTCAGAATTTCCGTTTGGCTTTTTGGCGTTATTTTGGCTTTTTTCAAGTCTATTCTAGTGTCTATTATTAAAATCATATGAAATACAATATTTGGTGTGTAACAACTGAACAATAGCCCATTACCTGTACCTAGCTACTTAACATTAGGATTTTCTGGAGCATCGATTTCCTTGTTTGTTACATTAACTCTTGACCATACTCAATAAGAAATAAGTGCAGTTTCTGCAGCTGCTCAGACAGATGTTCAAGCAGGGTTGTAAACATTGCCTCGTTTTTATAGTTTTGAGTGTTATTCGTCAGTTTACGTTCTGTTTCCAAAAAATAGTTGTATAACTCCATTTTCATTATGCCTGATATGGTTTATGTGAGCTTTCAGCATTAGTTTAATTCTGCATTTGCAGTAACGATGTGATTAACTACGCTAAAATTACTGAATTAGATATCAGTGGTCCACCTGTGAGCGGCAGGGGGTCAGATAATTTTTTAATAAAATTGATGGTTTATAAATTTTAAAAGTGAAAAAATGTTCAATAGTAAAGTACGATATAGGGAGTATTTTTTAAGGTGTAGCACAAGTTTAAGTAGAAACATATTGTAGGTGTGGTGGACATCAAAGTTTATTTCTATTTCTCGCAGAACTGTACATTAAGTTAGACGAACGCATATGTTGCCTAAGCCACCATCGCACGGCGAATAACTAATGGAATTCTGGCATTGCAAATAATGTTGTAATGTGCTCACTTTGCAGCTAAAACCCCATTAGCCGCAGATTGTGCACCAGGTGCTGGTCAGTTACGGTCTTCGAGCCCAGTCAAGTTTATACACCAGGACCGATTACTTATTTAGGAATTGTTGCTTACCAATTAATACAAATCATTTGCTATTGCTCACCTTATGTAGGAAAGACCACGAGCGTAAACTGTTAGTCATAATGCACCGAATGTTGTCCTGAAACTAATTAGATTAGACATGGCCCGCGGGCAAAAACCGGCCCGTCGGGTAATTCAATCTGGCCCGCTTGATGCTGCCACAGCCAGATTGAAATCAAATATTTATGTTTTAGCTAAAAATAGCTCAAGGAATTTGTTGAAGTTGTGGTTAAATTTAATTTTCGCACGAGGCATATTGTTTTCCACCTTTGCTTTGTAACACTGTAGATATTGTTCATAAAATGTAACTTTTCATGTCACACTTACATGGCCCGCCAGACTAGGTGGGCAAAATTGTTGGCCCTTAATTGAAAAACCTTGCCCACCCCTGAATTAGATCCAACTTGGTAGTACGATGATGTTCAACAGCCTTGTTTGTTCGCAAAAGACTTGCGGTAAACCTGTGGAACACAGTCACGTACGTTGTCAAACAATATAAACTACCTTTTTTACTTCTACAAAACTATGCTACTGCTATAAATGCAAACGCAATAATAAAATTTAACAAGAAAAAATTCAATACTACAACATACAGCCATCAACTATAAAATAGAAACTAAAATCAGCGGACAATTAAAGATCTGTGACATGCAGAACATTTTGAAATTTTTTTAACCATGAATAAATTGCAGATGTGGACCTATCAGTGAGACTTTGATCTGCAATATCAGTATTTGTTTCCCAACCTAAAACATACCGTTCAGTTTATTTACCATTATGAGCTTATTTGCCCGGGCAATGTGTACATCTTGATCTTAATTCAAACGGCAATGTGGCCGGCCTAACCTTAATTTAAACAAGTTAGTTATTTATTTAAATCACCGGTTCTGAACCAGTGGGCCATGGTTCACTGCTGAGCAACAAACATTTTTAGATGGACCACAAGCCTAAGAATTGCTACAGTTATTGATAAATTTCGTTTTATTTGTGTCAGTAAAGTTGAATTTTGATTGAGGTAGCAATAAATGATGCTGCTGTTATTTGTTACAGGGTGGTAATTTCCATTCCAATTATTAGTCTATATTGCGTGAAGAATTATTTGGTTTTCTTTTAGTTTTACCCTGGCATGTATGGAAAAATTAATGGGCCACAGAAATTTTGCCCAACAAAAATGGGCCACAACAGAAAAAAGGTTGAGAACCCCTGATTTAAATCAATGATATGCTGAAAGTAACGATGGATACAACTGCTATGTCATACAAATCTGAAATGTGAAAGATGTTCACGATTGCGATGAATACAATTGTCAAGATTGCAAGACCATAAGATTGCCTTATATTTCAGAGACTCATTGCTTCTTTTATTTCAAATGTAAGTTAAGCTTATACCTCTGGATCATGTAAAAGATGGTCACTAGTAAGTGCGGGTTGACCACTGGACTCTTGAATGATTAGCTGGGTGGCAATTGTTATAGTCAAATAATCTGGCAACATGCCGTAATCTGCCATAATCATGCCATAGTCTGCCATGCCATATGGAGCTACCTCATGAGATTTCTTCTCCTACGGATAAATAATAGCGGTAATAGGAATATGATATCCAAATGTCTGTTTGCTCATAGCTGTCTTAATAACAGTGTTGGATGAGCCATAACATAAATGAAAAACACATCACTATGAACAATATCAAGTAAAATTACTATGCAATAAGGGGACAATAAAAATTTAAATGTCTATAAAATTGGATAGAAGAAACGACAACACTGGTAATAGTATGAAATTAGATAGTACACTGGTAATAATTTGAATCACATGACATACATTATATATTAACTTTGGATAGAAAATGCATTGATGTATCACAATCATTTAGGTATTAATATAGAATGTTCCAGCAAGAAAATTCTATTAAAAACAGACACTGGTATAAAAAAGGGAGAAAGTAAGAGCTAGAAAACATATACAGTGGGTGCTAAATGTTCAACTATAATATCACAGTGGTCAAATAACTGAAGGCAAAGGTAAAAAAGCATTCAAATTAAGGTTAAAGCATATGGTTCAAAAATAGTATTGAAAAAGCTAATGGAGGCGAATATGGTGGTATCCTTTGGTTAATTACAGCTTCTGCCACCAATCAAGTTCATGATACATCTGAACATAGATCAGATTTTGGTAACCAGGCTAATAGCGGAGTGCTCAACCAGCCTTCTCTGTCAGGATAAATACAAAACTTGTATCTTACAATTAAATAGCAGACTATGCCATGCATCATACCAATTCAGGTTTCTCTCTAATATAGCAGATATGTTAGGCATGTGTTTGCTCACTCATGAAAGAATGAATAATGGGCAAAAAACACATTTATTCTCTAATACAGATTTGTAAACTCTGACCGCCCAAATCTTCTCATCCTTACTCGAAGGCTTAACAACATAACAGAATCCTACTGAAAAAAGCAATGGAAATTTAAGTAATTAGAATGAAAATAGCCAGAAGTAGAAGGATGAACTGATTTAAATGGTTTTTCATACAGTAAAATATAATAATGAAATATTAGAAAAGGATATACATAATTATAATGGATAGATGAATAGTGAGAGAGTAAACCAATCAAAAGCGACAAGAGGAAGCAGTTTGGAGGAACTTAAAAACTAAAAATGTTGTGTTTTAGAGATTCAGGCTTAAATCATAATAAGCGTGAGCTTGATAAATTTAGCAAAATTATTGTGGATATTTTAAAATAGTAAATGTGTGTGTTTGCTAACCCATGAAAAAATGAATACTAGCAAAATTAAAAAACACATTTATTTTCTTTTACAGATTTGTAAACTCTGGCCGACCAAATCTTCTCATCCTTACTCAAAAGATTAACAACAAAACAAAATACTAGTACGAGAATATCATTCAAAAAGACGAAAATTAGGGGATTCCCCAAAACAGCGCTCTTACTCCATAGTTACACCTTGTGTCCCATCACTAATTAATTAATACCTCGCTAATTATACGACATAATTCGCCTAAATCAATAGGCTTCTGGTCTGAGATATGATGAATGCACATGCAAAATCTGGAGCAGATTCAATCTCGCTTTCGTGAGATATCGCGTTTATCTAACAGACAGACAAATACCTATTAACATACTACCGATTAAAATCGATAAGTAATAAGAGGAAATACCGAAAAAAGCAACTAAAACTTAAGTAATTAGGATGGAATTAGCCAGATGTGGAATGATGAACTAATTTAAATGTTTGTCATACAGTAGATGAAACACAATTAAATATATACATATATGCATGGTTATCATGGAGTTGATCAACAACAAAGCAATGAAACAGATCAAAAGCGATAAAAATTGAGAAAAATAAACTCTTGGTTTTGAAAATTCTGACTAATTAGCGTTGATTAACAGTATAGAGTTTGATTTAAAATCGAAAGGTTGAGTCAAATTCGACTCATATTGCAGTTCATCAAACATTATAATTTGTAAGTAAGTCGCATAATGGAATGTTTGATAATAACAATATAAAATCAATGCAGGGGTTCTAATATTATATTGTCCATGAGTCCAACGTCCATTGTTAATTTTGTATTGTTAGTATTCAATTCCACAGACTTTCAATTTCTACACAACTTTTACAAGATAGCTATAGGTAGTTCCGGTAGGTTTAGATGAATTTTTCACCCCGTTCAGGCAATTTAGGGTCTGTTCCGGTAATGACAGGAACTTATTTTTTATCACTGTACCCCCAAAGTTTGTTGTTCTATCTTGAAAATTTCCTTGAGATATATAAAATGTCCTTTAGAAATATATGAGTCAATCTGACTGATATTGCAGTTCACCGAACTTTATAATATTTATAAGTGGCTTCATAATGACTCTTCGAAATCAATGGATGAGTTTTAATATAGTATTGTCCGGATAGTGTTGAACGTCCATTGTTGATCATCTATTGATAGTATACAATTCCTGCTGCGTTTAATTTCGCCTTCAATGCTGCACGAAGTTTACGCCTATGGTCATCATCAGGATATCCATTGCTGAAAAAGATTAGATTGCATGAGAGATAATGGTAGTTGCATATGAGTCTGATTTCAATTAACTGTAAAAAATAAGATGTTCGATAAAAGAACACTGAAAGTCACAAATATTTGACCCCTTAGTACTAAGAAACGCTTAACTTAGCAATGCCTGTGTGAGTGAGATTTGAATGTAAGGTTTAGATGTGTAAAAAGAATGTCAAGTCAACTTTACTCGTATGTAGAGATGAATGTCTAAACAGGTAATTTTTCCAGGTATTTGATTTCATTGATACTGTACTAAAATATGAAACATCAAAATCACTAACTAAACCCAACAACTTATCCATGGTGCAAGGGAAGGCTTCGCCGAACATTGATCATTTTAGAGTTTTGAAACCGAGTAATTCCAGAGTCTTATTGTCTGCTTGAACAGAGCACTGATAAAATTGCAGTTGTAAAACCACCAAATAATATATATATTCATGATGCGCGATGGAATAATGGTTGAAGCGTTAAACTTAATTGGGTTGGCATCGCAAACTACACGTCTTTGGTTCAAATCCAATGGCCATCACCCTACCAAAAACATTGGGAGGCAATGTCGAACCAAAAAAGAAACTAGTTCTGCCAAATATTAGTGACTCCTCAAATATTGCTACATATCAGTGGAAGCTTAAACAGTGCTTTGTTCACAGCAAAATGTGTGGATAAGCGTCGTATAATATAAAAACTCAAATATCTCGTTTATGATAGAACTTTAAGAATAAGCAGTGTAAGTGTAACTATAATTTATATGTTGGATGCCCAATGAAACATTGACAACAGAAAAGCAGAAAATTTAGTCGTTACTGGAATACGGATCAAATAGTTACACAGTTGGGCAACTATAATTCCAATGACAGATGTGACAACAGAGAAACCTAGTAAACAACAGCTGGTCGTTGAACCTGGTTACAGTCACGTTGCAGACAATTCAAGCCTGAATACCATAATGGTTGATTCTGATTGTCACTAAGAAATTACCCTCAGTCACATACACCCTAACATTTTGCAACAGCATGACAAATCATGGTCAATATTTATCAGGAATAGAAAGAACGCTTCCTGGCCATCCCTCACCTATCAACTGAAATTTGATCGATGCGATGATTTCTTATATATAGCCTTGTTCAGAGTGAAAGGTGTATAATGGATGCGCATAAACAAATTCAGATGTTGCTTGAAATCGAGAGAGGAAAGTTGAGAACGTTGTACTTGATTTTATCTAGAACGAGGCATTATATCTGTGGTTGAGTGGTTACAAATGTTACAAGCTGGATGGAAGTTTATGGGATCCATATCGTCTACAGGGGTGGTGACTCCTCTACGGCCCATCCAATTGGGCCACATGGGCCGCGGCCCATAGCTTGATGGGGATGGCCAATACCGAATAGTTCACTATTTCGAATACATTCGAAATTATTATTTTCGAATACCGTACGAAATTTCGAATACTTCGAAAATAAAATCCAGTAATAGAATCTAAGTGTATGAAGGAATTTTCATACAATAAACAATGGAATAACTTCTATCTACAACCTGGCTATATTACCAGGCATTTCATGTTTGCAGATTATTGCGATATATATTTTATATAACATGAGTTGTGGTAATTAACAGAATTAAAAAAACACAAAATCATCCTAGTGAAACACCCATACTTTTAAATACCAACCATTATCCAAATTATTTGTCAAAAAGCGGGATAAAGTATGAGTTCTTTTTCAGACTCGTGACAATTTTTTCGTGAGTACAAAAATACGAATCAAAAAGTAATTATATTCGGTTCGGGAACTTTACCACACATTTTAAGTCCGCAGATCGCCGTTGTATGTTTGTGTAATAATACTTTTATTATTTCATAAATACGAAAATAGGGTTCAAAAACTATTTATAATCGGGTAGTTTACCACACATTCAATGTCCACAGATCACCGTTGTATTTTGTAAATACGAAAATAGGAATCAAAAATTAATATCAATCGCGAGTTTGCCTCACAATTTATGTCCACAGAATGCCGTGATATTGTGCCCGAATATAATTAATTTTTGATTCTTATTTTCGTGAAAGTCGGAACAAGTCGGAAAAATAATTTATACTTTATTACACATTCAAGTCCACAAATCGCCGTTGTATTTTTGAGGTATAATAGTTTTAATATTTTGTAAATACGAATCCGAAATTAATTATAATTGGGCAGTTTACCACACATTTCATGCCCACAAATACCCGTGGTATTTGGTATTGATACTTTCATTATCGATACTTTTGACCATCATTATCAAAATTATTTGCCAGAAAGCGGGTGAAAGTATTTTTCTAATAAATCAACTTGTTTCCCAACTTGTGACAATTTATTGGATATCGTAACAATTACGGCTATGAATACCGTATTTCCCGGCTAATAAGTCTACATGGCAAATAGGACGATGTATATTTTTAGCACTCAGTAAAAGGGGGTTTTCCATATAGGCCTCCAAGAAGACGGGTAGAAAAATTGTTCCCTGTTGTTCAGTTATGCTAATATGCGCTAATAATAATGTTTAGAACCAGATCACGTTTGTTTAGTAGAATCATACTCCCCGAATTAACTATTTTTAACAATAAAGCGGTAATTTTAAGTTGAAAATCACAATCATTTTGAACAATCTATAATTTTATTGGGTCAGAACAGAACCAGATCGTGTTTGTTTGGTGGAACCATACTCACGGAATTATCTATTCCAAACAATGAAGTGGTAAATTTAAATTATAAAGCGGCAATCATTTTGGACAACCTATCAACCCGAATGTTGAAATAATTTTGGAATGTGATAAGTACCACGCGGTACGTCCACGGGTTATTTCACAGCTGTGTTTCATGTCCCTGTCGTTTTCTGCTGAATCGGCAAAACCAAAGGGTCGTAAATCACTTACTTTATCTCGGTGGCCGTGTTTTCTCTTTTAAGTAACGATAATCGGCCTACGATTAAATATCATGATTGGCAGACCCATAAGAACCAAATATAAGGTTAACACAAATTATGCTTGAGAAGACTAATGCGAAAAATAAGCAGGCCACATAGAAATAAAATAAACATACTTTCCCAATAAGGCGCCCCTCACCCCAAAAAATCAAGCCAAAATGGGGTCTAGAAAAGCGACTTATTAGCCGGGAAATACGGTGATTGTCGATTTTTCGACTAATGGAAATGATTTTGTGAATTAAAAGACGAATGTCGGCAATGTCCACCAACGCAAACGTGCAAATGTGTCGCAACACTATGCGACGTACATTCGCGCTGAATATAAACAATCAAAATGCCGATTCTATTTCATCGTCATTAGAATACGTGAGAAAGCGTAAAAAGTCGTTTGAAGATTCCGGTAAAACGTAACACCGTGTTTACGGCGAAAAGTGACTACCAGGGATGGCCAATTCGAATAAAGTATTCGAATGTATTCGAATATCTCGTCATTCGAATATCGGAATTAGCGTTCATAAGAATATCGGATATTTGTGTGACGTCACACATTTTCGACGCCGCTCTCAAGACGTTTCCGTTGAATGAAAATATTCTCGATAGAAACTTGCGCGTGATTGTTTTCATCACTCATCAGCGTAACGTGTTATTTAGGCTGTAAACGCCTTTACGTTTGCGTTATTTTCTCTAAAACGAAAATTTTCCACAAATTTGTTTCACGTAACGAAGACAATTATTTTATTTTTGTACGCGCACGGAATTGTGAATCTGGTAAATACGTTCATCGGCGGCGAGTTTCTAAAGACAACGCAACTTTTTGATTGAAAAGCGGCAATTTAAAATACTGAAAATAAAACCGTAAACAATATAAGTTTTATTGAGGCCCGCGAAAATTTGAAAAACGCTTTTCTAGGCAGTGAAAATCGCAGAATTTCGTGTGCCTCTGGCACACATTATGTTTGGTCGTCGTTTAGAAACATATCGTCACGAATTGAGGGCGGGATTTGCCTGATTACCCATTACTTTAAATTGCCGTCGAATATTTTCAAAGTATATTTAATCAACTTTATTTTGATGAAATAAATTTCACTCCGAGATGTTACAGAAGATTTTTCGAACGGTTTTATCTAAAAATAATCAGAGTGGCAGCATTTCGATTGAGCGGAGACACTGTTAACAAGTACATCTAAATACGGATCAAAACATTATTTAATCGGGCAGTTTACCACACGTTTTTATTTTTATGACCGCGGATTGCAATGGTATATAAGAGTGGTGAGGATTTTATTTTGTCGACGCAACCGCAGGTTAAATTGAAGACAATTAAATTAATAATGAAGCAAGACATTTTAAAAATGCCCGTATCGGTCACGAATTCATCACTTTGCACAACAGAAAAATATATTGTTATATTATTTGTTGTAAAAGTCGACTCTTTTAACAGGTGGCATAGTCGCGGCGATGAATACGTATTTTCAATTTACTGCTAAACTTTATATTTATATTCTTTGTATGAAATGAATTATACTCTACACTTAACAGGATTTTATATCATTATTTGAGATTTTTCTAACGGCGATAACGAATTGGCAAGATTGCAAAAATACGTATTAAAATTAAATACATCAGGCAGTTTATCTCGTACTTTTAGGTCACAGATCGCCGTGGACCGAATAGTAATGTTTTTTTTTGACGTAAGAAGAAGCAACCGGGAGTTAAGTTGGACACATTAAATTAATATATAAAGATATTTTAGAAACTCGTAGTTGTCATGGATTGAATATTTTACGTAACAGGATGATCATTATACGCTGAAAAGACGGCTCTTTTATTAACGAGCGCGGAATCGCGGTGGGTGTTACCAAAGTCACTTTGGGTGTTACAGGCGGCAATGGGAATTTCCGATTTCGAAAATCCTGGCTGCGCGGCTGGCAGTGGTGGTCATTTATCCTCTACTAATTTATTTCTAATTTCAAACACAACAATATGTTACACATAATAACAATATGGTTCACATAAATTAATATACAAATATACTGGTAGGTAGTAGAATACTCTATGCCTAAATAGTAGAATTTTTAAAGGCATAATGGATTTTCGATTGTTGTTGCTTGTTCCAGTTGCCTGTATTGCCAATAAATTTTATTACTCTCAGAAAATATACACAATTATCTGAATACAAGTAGTATTTTTGTCAACAGACTTGACTATTATCATAATATCATGGTACCAATGAAAGAAAGCGTCAGACAACTCCTTGGATGGTCATTTGTACAAAGTGAATAATTTTAATAAACTGACTGTGTCACAAGTTGATATTATTTTATATTGATAGCTATAAACTATCAATTATCTTGTGTACATATAATGTTGGTTTGTGGCTTTATTCTGATATTTTTATTGAAGCTTATTTCCTAATTTACTGGGTTTTAATAAACTAAACAAAAATGTGTTATTTTCGATTTTAGAATGTATTCGGAATTCCAGATTCGAAAACATTATTTTAGAATGTATTCGGAATAGTTTAGTATTCGGAAATGGCCATCCCTACTGACTACTATTTGTAATTATTCGGAAATGAGCCGAAAAGGTATTCGAATACTTTGATATTCGAATAATTTCGAATATTCGATTCGTTTTGGACAACCCTGGCCGCGGCCCCATCAGGAAAAATACAATTATCTTACCAAAATTTTCAATTTTTACAAAATTGCCAATATTCGAATCAAAAAAAAAATCGCGGTCTGCCACCAAATTTTTTTCTTACGATAAGCATGTATATCAAAATAAAGCAAAATACAAAGCTACAGAAAAGAATACTCCTGTAGTATGTGTACCAGGTTAGGGTTAGGACAAAATTCTGTTCAGATTTTTCACATTATAGTTCTATTATGAGTTCGGGGACTGTCTGTGTTAGCCAAGTGAATAGTCCCTTTGCACAACTTGATGGGCCGTGGTCCATAGCCTGATGGGCCGAGGCCCAATTCGATGGGCCGTGGCCCCGGCCCATGGGCCGTATAGGAGTCACCACTTCCACTCCATATCGTAACCCAAAGATGCCTTTCTTTGATTTATAAATAAGAGTTTGAAAAACAGTGTTTGACAAAAAACAGGACTTTTTGTGTGCAAGTTCATTTTTCTAACTTTGCATAGAAGGTCAGTTTGGAAAATAATTCTGGTGTTCGCCATCTTGTTGCACATACTACGGAGCAGCGCCAATTTTATTTTTGTAATTCACATTTTAAAACTCAAGTTTTGTTGGAACTAAATTTTTAATACATCTGTACTTGATATAACTTAGTTGAGGCCCCAGTCAATCCTTATCACAATTGTGCATATTTTAGAATATTTAATCAGAAAACTTACTTATCTGGACCTCCAAGTTTGTTAGTCTTATGAGGAATTTCATCATTCCATATTATCTCTCCTCTGCTGCTTCTAATTATCTGAATCTTGAAGAGCAATCCTGCTTTGAATGCTTTCTCTAGCAAGGGTATGGATGTGTGATCGAAGAAGAGATTCCTACGTAGATATTCAGTGAATTCCTTTGCCTCATATGAAACACTCTGCAAAATAAACATAATAAATTATTCAACTTCTATCTCTGATAATTTATTAAAACTGATATAAACACCAGATGCTCCAGAAGTATGCGCACCAAGATGTCGCACAACCTGAATCCTAACCGGTACACACATACTATGTTCAGGTTGTGCGCCATCTTGGTGAGCATACTTCTGGAGGTCCAAAAGCTTTAAACTAAAATTTCTGCAACTCAGAATCGTTTCGAATAAATTTAACGATTCCTCAGAAGCAGACATTTGCAAAAGCATTTTTTAGGTGATTTTAGTTGGAATGTTTTCTAATACTCGCTCTGAACAAGGCACAAAACAAGCAGGCACTGATACGTAAATACCTTAATTGAACGATTGGAAGCTTTCTCACTAAACATTGACTATCAAAACATTTGATTTCTAGGTCAGGAGGAGGGCACACATTTGAACCAAAGATGTTTTACATGTGCAAACAAGTAAAATATCCTCAGGAAACATATAATCAGTGGCACCTTGTTCAGAGTTGCCTTCACATGATTTATTAAAAAAAGTTTTAATTTTTCAAAAAGGAAATCAAACATAATATATCTATGATTGGGAGCAGAGTTAGAATATGATGACACTAACATATTACTGATACACAGAAAATCCACTGGTATGTAAGAGGTGATTTATGAAAAAACTAAACGACCAACATTTTTTCAGGCAGAGCATTGCTTGCCAATTTATATACATCGTTGGTGAGATCGTCGATTTGGGATTTGAAGATTAATGTTAGGAGAAGTAGCCAAACTACGTTGGCATCACAGGTTAAAAATCTTGGATTCAAGCACATTACTCAGTGTATAATGAAATAGGTAGGAGTGTATGATAAATTAGGTTGGCAATGCAACCAGACAGATTTCAGTACTACAATAAATAGTAGTGCCTTGTGTATCAGTGGCAGCTCATACATAGCCCTGTTTGAAATAAAAGACATGACAAACGTTTCATAGAAAAAATTCATATGGTAAGTTTGTCATTTTAGGCGTTTGGAATCTTATAGTCGGACAAAACTATCAGACTTATAATATATTATGATGATTATTGCCAAAATGAAATACCTGATTTACTATTTCATATAAATTCTTAAATAATATTTTTTTCCAATATTTAATATATTTTAAATTGGGCCATGTCCAACAAGTGTCTGTGAAAATCACTGTATTTATGTGGAAATTTAATTCAGTAATGCAGAATAACTGATATAAACACAGCTTGGATTGATTTTAGCAATTTGCAATGTTAGATTTTAACGAAAGTCATACGATTTTCTTCAATAATCAAATGCTTCAAAAGACAAATTTTGAAATGAAAACCTCAAATCAAGAATTTTCTCTATGTAATATAAACAATTGTGAATATATTCATCTATTTTGGACATCAGCACTGGTAGAGGTAAATTCTGCAAGGGGCCATTAAACCAACATAAAAAACTGCTTTCTAGAAACATTGGAAAAAATTTCTAGAACATCTAAGCACTAAGGTGTTGTGATGGCCTTGTGGTTATAGCATTGGACTTAGCTATGTTGGATCATAATTCGAAGGTCCCAAGTTCAAGTCCCATGCCCACTGCCTTATCCAGGATGTAATAACTTGAGTAGGCAATTCCAAAATGAAAAGATTACATTACATCCAAAAATAATAGCTTATTATGCATTAGTGGTTGCTTGTGCCCTGTTTAAAGTGAACAATATAATAACATAAGTGTAATTAGAATTCAATTGCTATTTGGGGGCAGAATAATTGTATTTGGAAGATTCAATGTTAAACATACAATTAATATATATTAATACAACAAGAAGCCTGGTTCCAGTAAATACATAATTTAATATTCAACCAACTGAATTCATTACATGACTCACATTCAGCCTTCCAGCAGGGAATGAGTAGGTGATGACATAAGTGCACAATATATATCCTGGCAGTGATTCATGCAACATTTTCACTGACATTTCTCCACCAGGTGGTTGCTGGTTGATGATTCTTAGACCAGATGAAGTAGCTTGACTTGAAGACTGAGATTCTGAAAATTGAAAATTTTCTTCGTTTTGGTGAATTAGAATTGGATTCATGTAATCATAGAAAGAGAAATGTAGCTGACATTGTGATATAACGTAGTTATAAAGTGAAGAGGGACATTTTTTTCTTTTCAGTGTATGGGCACGCAGACTCGCATAAAGTTGGAGCTGTTAATAATACAGCAACCAGTCCAAGATTAATACAGTTATTACATTATAATGAAAGCTGAAACCATAATTAGTCCTCCATTCATATCTCTCACTACTGGTCCCAGTTCATATCAGGCATTGAAATCTTATATTCACCTGAGGCCTTGTTGAAAACATACGGTACTTTCTACTCGAATCACTTTGTAGCATTGTACATTCCAAGGGCTTGTAAGAATAATTTATCAACCATGTTACATGTACGAGATATGTTTATACAAATGAAGTTATTGAATTCAACTCAAAAGATGCAAATCCTTTGTTTTTTTATTTATATTTCATATAATTGACATATAAGATGATCTTGTCAATTCACCAGGATGTTCAGACTTATAAAATGACAAGTTGACATGAACAAAAACTGGTCAGACTCGATGCTCACTTTATCAATCTCAGTTAAGAAACACAAATGCAAGAGATTGTACCTGAAGTATCACTTCTGTATCCACCCACTGCTCCCATATGTGGTTCTTGGACATTCCTAGAGCTGTGACTACTTGATGCAGTGTTGCCCAAGAAAGTTTCTGTATCTGCTTTAGTACTTGGAGCAGTGAAAATTGCTCTCTGAGCTGCCTGATCTGTGGACTTTTCATCAGCTCGAGAAAATATTTCATCAACAAGTAGATCGTAACATTTACGAGAATCGTTGACCAAAGTTTCTGAGCGGATGGTTTGTTTGAGAAATTGCAGGGGGAATTTTCCGAGATTGAGAAGGCTAAACAGTTCATGAAAATGTTTTTTCCTTTTCTGAATATCTTGTTTAATCCATCTAAGAGTTCCATGCCATTTAACAGTCTCGGAAGAATATTTTGTGTTTGGGGATTTGTAAATCCTTATGATCTCATCTTTGCTGATATCACAAAACTCTTTTTTCTCAATGACTTGTTCGAAAGTTGCTTCCAGAAATCGATTCATCACATCTTTCACAGCATTTGAGTTTGTAACTTGATGAGTTTCAGCCAGATTCTTCAGGATGAAGCAGTTGTCAATCTCAAGATTTGTCTCAAGATTCTTGACATCAGAGAATAATGCAGTGATGACTGAATTCTTTGCAATATCATTACTTTTCACCAATGGTTCTTCCAATACAGTCTCCAGAAGAAATTTGAAAGGATAAGTCTGGATATTGATCACTGTAACAAGATCGGCAAAACATCTCTCTGCATCTTCATCTTTTGCTCTTGCCCATGTCATCATAGCTTGCCATGATGTTTGATAACTCACATTTGAAACTTTTATGTAACGCAGGAGATCTGGCTTGATAATGAATGGGAACATCTCAGAGGAAATTACTGATTTGAAATTAGTGATCAAAACCTGTTCTGCTTGCTCTTTTATATCATAGCGATCGTATGCTTGAGCCAAGTTGATGACAGAAAGGCAATTGGTCGAAGAGACATGGGTTTTCAAGTAATGGAAGCAAAAGTTTGTCAAGCCAACCATTTGTAACAGGTTGGATGCTTGCAGGATTTGTTGAACGTATTCCATTTTCAAATTTCCTACTCCTTTATACATGAATTCTATACATTGGGAAATCCCATTCTGATCGACATCCTTCATATTGATAAAACCATCACGAGATTCCTTCATTTTGCTCGTAAACATCGCTTTAAAGTATCCTGATGAGGCTGCCAAGACACAGCGATGAGCACGAAAGGATTTGTCACCAACTTTGACATCGAATTCACAGAGAATGTTTTGTACTCTCAAGCTATCGAGTGATGTCATAAGCAAACCGGCTTGGGTTGAATTTGTTTGTTTAATGTAATCTTCATTCATGATCAGTCAGCTCAACCTTACTCAGATCAGTAACTAAATATAACAATCCTAACACCTGCATAAAGATAATACATTTTGTTAACGGCTGTGGTTAATCTTCCAAATCAAAACTACATTTTATTATTGAACATACTAGATGAATTGCTCATGTCAGCATATTACTTTACAGTTGGTGGTCTGAATTCCTAGAGAAATTAACAAATGAGAAATCTCGCCATAACAAACATGTGACCTCTGAGTTGTTATTATTATTTCCAACAATGGCTATGAACCCCGAATGTTCAATTGCTTAGAAACTGCCTGTGGTTGCGTACAACTTTCCCATCAGGACTTTTTACGCAATATAATATGATAGATTTGAATAGTCTTCCCAAACTATATTATGTATCATGAAAGCGGAAATGGTCACCTACTCAGTCCTCTGAACAATATAAGTCTGCAATTACGGTACATTAATTATTGCGACTGAAGAAAATGCTATTCCATTTCCTCCAGTCGCAACAATTATATTGTTTAAAGTCTCTGGAATGGCATTTCCTCAAAATCTTCATAACTAAATAACACAGATCTTTTTGTCAATAAGTAAGGATTGGTATCTATAAGCCACTTGTCTTAACACAAAATAATGGATTTTACTGAGAAAAGTTTTCTTTTTTATCTGTGCTAATAGTAAAGAGATTCATTAAAGGTCAACAAAATTTGGCTATACTACTATTTGTCACATTATAAGTATAATTTTATTTCGACTCCATTTACAGATTTGATAGGCAATAAAATAATTAATATAAACAAACGTATGAACATACTCTGCTAATACTCCGCATTATCTTAGAGTCAGTCGCATAAGCTGATAACGGTATTCCAACCGAACTGCCATCGCCCAACATACTGATCGAATAACAATATAACTGCATTCATTACCCAGTTTCAAATGCAGCATAGCGCAGTATTGCAAAAAATCTCAACATTTGCAACAGTCTGATTCTGACCTTTCACTCCAACTCCCGGTGTAAGTTGCCAAGTCGAGTAACTTTGAATTGGCAAATAAATACGCTGATTTCAACTGATATGCAAGGATGGAAAGTTATGTTAATAAAAATAGGTAAGAAACATGAGTAGAAAATTTGAAATCATTCAAATACAACATGTATGAACCTAATAATTGGAATGAAACGTCATTGCAGTTTATTCTGCATTAAATCTGGCATCATCGCGTTAACTTACCCAGCATATTCATGACGTCATTGTCCATAGAATTGTTATAAATTCACGATCTTTATGATGTAATAGTTTCATCTCAAAGTAGGTTATTTGTGCGAGCATGTCCAGCGTTAATTCGGGCATTAAGTAAGTTTCTAGGCAAAGATCCAGCATTTTCTGTGTGGGAGAAAGTTAAGTATAAAGAAATGGAGATACCGTGTTTCCCCGAAAATAAGACTGGGTCCTATTTCAATTTTCTTCCGAAAAATAACACTAAGGCTTATTTTCGGGGGATGTCTTAAATTTTCATTCATCAAAATCAAAATTACAAAGTGGAGAATTACGAGATTTTCAAATATACAAAATATGAAAACCGATATCCATTTACTTATAAATAACACGTTTTTATTCAAAAGAACTGCACAAAAATTTCGCATAGTTGACTAGGTCTCATTTTAAGGGGAGGGCTTATATTAAAATCAGTTTTAAAATTCAGGCTAGGTCTTATTTTCGGGGAAACACGGTAGATGTAGTGTTGTGCACTCTCTGTGGAATCTTCAAATGACAAAGGGTCGCGGTATATCGGATTACTATGCATTGGACTGTTTATTTTCAACAAGGCTGCTAAATGCCGGATACGCTGATACACATAGCCGCAAGTCAGTGTAGGATCGAACTTTTGATATTGAATATTATTCGTAGAGAAGCGCCTTCATCCGGATAAGATTTCTCTAATTTAGTTAGAAATAGTAAACACGATACGAAAACAGAATCAAAGAGAGAAGCGCACAACATGGGCAAACTTTCATCAATTAACCCACATAAAAAATTATTACCATGGTATCCGAATCCATTAAATACGCGGCGTGAAACGGCGTTTAGCCTGACAAACGTCCCTGCTTTTGAGGTATACTTTGTCATGATGTTTGCTTCACCTAAAAGGATAGGATATGATTTACATATTTGCGTAACTGGAAAAGTTTTTTATTATAATCAGTATTTTCTATGAAATCCTTCTGTGAAAGGATAAGAGCACCTCCACTATTGAAATAAAAATAGCATTAAGATTTGCACAAAGACGAAAATACTATAAAATAACATGCGCTACTTTAACACGTGAAATTTTAATCAGCTGAGATGCACTCGCATTAGGAATCTTTCGAATTGCGTAGATCTAAATAAAATTTGAAACGTGATTTAAGCTCAAGTAGACGAAAAAATACCATTTATAGATAACTCAGACATAACGAAAAACGCGTTATTCACCCCCACAGATACAAAATCTATCAATTTACCTATATATATTATCGTCGCTTTTCGTATCAGCTGGTATTTCTGTGTTCCCTGTAGTTTTTGAAACCGTCCGGTCACGATATTACAATCCATGTTTTACTAGATGGCAATGAAATATGTTGCTTAAAATTTCATTCGTGGGCTTATGGGATTGCAGAAAAATAATCCCAACCGGTCCATTATACCGGAGGAGCAAATTGTACAAAGTCGGCACAAGTATAGTTTAACACATTTGCTATATATTTCAACTTCGTGGGGTGTTTCATTCTGTACATCCCCAACAAACAACCCTCACCCGTATATCAAGGGATGAGGGACTTATATCTGGGCTCCCTAAACTAGGGGCCGCGACCCTACAGGGTGTTGCATACATACATACAATCAGAGAAGCGGCGCGCAATCGTAACAATGCCGACTTTTATCATTAACGCTGAAGGAGGAGTCACTTTGTCGAGTTGAAACCACGTAATCGGTAGCCAGGCATCGTTATTCGTTTAACTTTGCTGATGCTGCAAAAATCTTACCTTGACTGGTGGATATGCTTCGTCATCGAATGTGAAACATGGTTTACTCGCCTTTCTTTTCGTTACATTAACAATTTATTGCGCCAGGTAATAGAACTAAAATGAGGAAAATTGGAATAAATTATGGCCTAACGCTAACCTGGTACACACACTACGTATCCGATGTCCGCCATCTTGATTTACATACTTCGGGACACCGAAATATCGGCGTATTTCGTTTAAACGCGAGAAAAATACTTATTTTGATTGCGGTAACGAGGTGAGAATCACAATCAGAGGTGAATGAAAATAATCCTGCTCTAATATTCATGTACTTGATGAGTCGTCTTGAGTTTGTTACAAAGCTTGCTAAAAACCAGTGATAGAACGATTGTCCTAGCCCTAAGGTGCACAAATCAACCTTGTGCTAAACTGCAATGATCAGTTCAAATTTTGGTGACGATTATCAGCAATATATCTTCAAACAAACACCACAGGCCTTGTCAGTAGCTGGGAATTTATATCACATTACTTGACGTATCCGTATTCTGAAATTTGGCACATTGCCCTATTGATGTTAGGGTTAGTTCATATATGGGGTTAGGTATTTTGGATCAAAGGCACATGACAACAATAATCAGTATTCGTATATTCTATATAAATGAAAAAACATTTTAGCGATGATAATTAACAATATATTGTGAAACACACACTACGTGTCGAGTCGGCGTAAAAAACTAATGGTTTGCATATAAAGTGCATTTCAAGTCATAGGATTTTTATGGCAGATTGGGACATTGGCTTGACGTATATGAGCAGGGGTACATTATTATATAAGGTTGGAGATCTGGTGTTGAAGACAAGCATTTACCCACCATCACCACATTGGGGGTAGATATGGGGTAGACTGAAAAGCATGAAATGTAGCTCCAATTCCTTTCCATACCAAGTTGTTAGGAGAGAAAAGTCAAACACTATATATAAAATTGAACATCATACATCAAAGAGACAAGTAAAAATGATGTTGAAAAATGCTGGAACGTCAAATAATTAATTATGGGTAAGTGTGGTGATGCACAACACTCAGTTAAGTTTTTAACAAACTAAAATGTACTTTTACTGAATCATAAATATTGTTTTCAAAATCTACGATTATCAGTCAAACTAGATATTATGGGTATTTTGGAAATTCTGGTTTTCAAATTCTGTTTAAGCTTTTTAAATTAAATAAGTTTCCTTAAAGCAGTTGAATTTTTCAAAAATATAATTCTATTTATCAGGCTTTAAAAAAGTTTAAATGCTTTTACATGAATATACGATGAAATGTAAATTTATCTCTCAAATACTAAAGCAAACAAAGTACAAATTACATGCATTTGAAGGTAATTGATTTGCATATTAGAGATTAATAGGCTTCAAGTATCGAAAGGAAATTATTTACACAGATACAGGAATATATATAAGATGCTACAATAGTTATGGAAAAATTAACCAAGCTCTAACTAGGATTTAGTAAAGCACAATGGCTGATATTTTTGAAAAACAAAATGTACACTTATATTATAGCTGATAATGATGACAATTAAGTTCTACAGAAATAAGAATTCAAATAAAACAATATTTCTAAAACTAACAAACTAAAATAGCAAATTAGAGACAATTAGGAAGGAATAACTAATTATTAAAAAATAAGTTGAAGTATATTTCTGATGAAAAAGGTACATTGTACATCGAATAGATTAGAAGCTGTGATTGCATAAGTAGTTAGTTCAGTATTATATATAAACATCTCTTTATATGTATGAAATTAATATTATAATTTTATCATCAATTCTATGAGACCACTTATTATTCTTCCTTCTGAACAGTAACATAACTATTTTGTGTGCAGCAAAACTCCTTAATCACTTATAATTTTATTACATTGAAGCCTACTGATATCTATAGTTACTAACAGAGTTGATAATCAACCTGTATCACAAAGCTGACTGGTCCATATATTATGTAGCAATGACTTGCAACATTAAGATTCCATCATTAATGAATGGAATAAAGACGATATAAAATAATTATAAAAATGTAGTTAAAGAGAAAATTGCATATTTGATTTTCATGATTAGCACCAATGAAATGTGAGGAAGAATTAAAGGAAAATATAATTATCTGTAGGCTGTAGAAGTAAATATGGATTTTAAATTACCATATACTAAAAACAATGTAGATTGCTGAATCATGACAAAATTTTCAAGTGATAAGAATACTGATTGCGAATCACTTTTCATGCAAAATAAAGCCATATATACCGGTACATCTCAAATAATATAATAACACCAATCATGGCTAGCAAGGTCGAATTTTAATAAAAAAATAAAAATTCAATATATTGAAATATTATCAGTGGGACATTTGAATTGCATATTTGAAAAATCATAATTATACAGGCACCACTCAAATAAAAGTTGAAAGCATATAGTAGAAAAAGGCATTGGAAAAGCTAATGGAGGCCAATATGGTGGTATCCTTTGGTTAATTACAGCTTCTGCCACCAATCAAGTTCATGATACATCCAAATATAGATCAGATTTTGGTAACTAGGCTAATAGCCGAGTGCTCAACTAGCCTTCTCTGCCAGGATAAATACAAAGCTTGTATTTTGCAATTAAATAAGCAGACTATGCCCTGCATCATACTGATTCAGGTTTCTCTCTAATATAGAAAATATTCCCTGATTGGCCGCCTAGTTGGAGTAAAACTTGTGAGAAGTATTCAAAAACTTGACTCAAAGCATCTTTTTTTCAATAAACACAAAAATACTCTTTTCTTTTTGTAAAGTCTTGAAACAACTTTTCTCAGTATGATAATGACTAATATAATTGATAGTAATTGAGATGGAACTGATTAACAGTGGAAGAATAAAATGTTTAAAAAAGGGTCAAACATGCAAACAAAGTGAGTAACAATACATGAGTCTGGAAGTCAATCTACAAATACCGTATTTGCTCGTTTTGTAGCCCGGGCCCATATTTTTTTCAACCAACTCACTAACCAGGCCCTTATTCAAACCGGCCCTTATTCAAGCACGGGCGCTTGTTATTTTCGATCGTTACAATAATTAATATATTGTTATTTCCAGTTCTCAAGTATGATTTAAATGAGAATAACGAAAATTTTGACTTTTTCTACGCACCGCAGGTACAAATCCGCAAAAGAAGAAAAGTTTTGCCCTATCATTATTGAAACGACGCACTTGGACGTCGCGACGCCCAGTTTGAGAACCATGGTGTTACGTAATCAATGCTATCTGTTATTTTTCCTATTGTTCTCTACCATTAAAAAATCAGCTTTTACATCGGGCGGGTATTCAAGCAAAGGCCCTTATTTATTTTTATGTTCTGTTCACACGGGCGGCTATTCAATAATCAAGATCGGGCGGTAAAACGAGCATATACGGTGTATACATATATGCATAAGTATCATGGAGTTCATCAACAATAAAAGGATGAAACAGATAAAAACGATGGAAAATTGAGAAAATATAAATTGTTGGTTTTGAAAATTCTGACCAATTCACGTTGATTAACAGTATAGAGTTTGATTTAAAAACGAGGGGTTGAGTCAAATTCGACTGATATTGCAGTTCATCAAACATTATAATATGTAAGTAAGTGGCATAATGAAATGCTTGATAATGACAATATAAAATCAATGGAGGGGTTCTAATATTATATTGTCCATGTAGAGTCCAACGTCCATTGTTGATTTTGTATTGTTAGTATTCAATTCCTACACAAATTTTCACAAGATAGCTACAGGTAGTTCCGGTCGGTTTAGATGAATTTTCCACCCCGTTCAGGCAATTTAGGGTCTGTTCCGGTAATGACAGGAACTTATTTTTTACCACTGTACCCCCAAAGTTTGCTGTTTTATCTTGAAAATTGCTTTGAGATATATAAAATGTCCTTTAAAGATATCTGAGTCATTCTGACTGATATTGCAGTTCACCAAACTTTATAATACTTATAAGTGGCTTCATAATGACACTACGAAATCAATGGATGAGTTTTAATATAGTATTGTCCAGATAGTGTTGAACGTCCATTGTCGATCATCTATTGATAGTATGCCTTTAATTTCGTCATCAATGCTTCATACAGTTTATCGATATGGTCACCATCAGGATATCCATTGCTGAAAAAGATTAGATTGCATGAGAGATAATGGTAGTTGCATATGAGTCTGATTTCAATTAACTGTAAAAAATAAAATGTTCGATGAAAGAACACTGAAAGTCACAAATATTTGACTCCTTAGTACTAAGAAACGCTTAACTTAGCGATGCCTGTGTGAGTGGGATTTGAATGTAAGGTTTAGATGTGTAAAAAGAATGTCAAGTCAACTTTACTCGTAGGTAGAGATGAATGTCTAAACAGGTAATTTTTTTCAGGTATTCGATTTCATTGATACTGTACTAAAATACGAAACATCAAAATCACTAACTAAGCCCAACACCTTATTCATGGTGGAAAGGAAGGCTTCGCCGAACATTGATCATTTTAGAGTTTTGAAACAGAGTAATGCCCCAAAGTCTTATTGTCTGCTTGAACAGAGCACTGATCAAACCGAAGTTGTAAAAACACCAAATAAAATATATATTCATGATGCGCGATGGCATAATAGTTGAAGCGTTAAACTTAATTGGGTTGGCACCGAAAACTGCACATCTTTGGTTCAAATCCAATGGCCATCACCCTACCCAAAATATAGAGTCGGCAATGCCGAACCAAAAAAAAAAACTAGTTTTGCCAAATATTAGTAGCTCCTTAAATATTGCTACATATCAGGGAAAGCTTAAAAAGGTCTTTGTTCACAGGAAAATGTGTAGATAAGCGTCGTATATATAAAAACTCAAAGATCTCGTTTATAATAGAATTTTAAGAATAAGCAGTGTTAAGTGTAAGTATAATTTATATGTTGGATGCCCCATGAAACTTTGACAACGGAGAAGCAGAAAATTTAGTCATTACTGGAATACGGATCAAATAGTTACAAAATTGGGCAATCATAATTTCAATGACTGATGTGGCAACAGAGAAACCTAGTAAACAACAGCTGGTCGTTGAACCTGGTTACAGACAATTCAAGCCTGAATACCATAATGGTTGATTCTAATTGTCACTAAGAAATTACCCTCAGTCACATACACCCTAACATTTTGCAACAGCATGACAAATCATGGTCAATATTTATCAGGAATAGAAAGAACGCTTCCTGGCCAACCCTCGCCAATTTACTGAAATCTGATGGATGCGATGGTTGCTTATATATAGCTTTGTTCAAAGTGAACGGTGCATAATGGATGTGTATTAACAAATTTAAATGTTGCTTGAAATCAAGAGAGGAAAGTTGAGAACGTTGTACTTGATTTTACCTAGGTTGCAAATGTCACAAGCTGGATGGAAGGTTATGGGATCAAAATCGCAGCCCAAAGATGCCTTTCTTTGATTTATATATAAGAGTTTGCCAAATGATGTTTAGTACAAATCATGACTTTTTGTGTGAAAGTCCGTTTATCTAACTTCGCATGGAAGGTCAGTTTGGAAAATAAATATTGCTTTGGTTGAACCTAATTTTTGCAATTCCTATTTCAAAAATCTTAAATCTCAAATTTTGTTTGAATTAATTTTTTATTACATCGTTACTGGATATAACTCACTCGAGGTTCCTTTTAATCCTTATAATAATTGTACAGAATATTCAACTAAAGAACTTACTTATCTGGACCTCCATGTTTGTTAGTCTTATGAGGAATTTCATCATTCCATATTATCTCTCCTCTGTTGCTTCTGATTATCTGAATCTTGAAGAGCAATCCCGCATTGAGTGCTTCCTCTAGAAAGTATATGATTCCAATGTCGGGCAAATATTCAGTGAATTTCTTTGCCTCATATGAAACACCCTGCAAAAATAAACATACCTTAACAAATTATTCAACTCCCATCCCTGATAATTTATTAAAACTGATATAAACACCAGGTTCTCCAGAAGTATGCGCACCAAGATGTCACACAACCTGAATCCTAACCGGTTAACACATACTATGTTCAGGTTGTGCGCCATCTTGGTGCGCATACTTCTGAAGGTCCAAAAGCTTTAAACTAAAATTTCTGCAACTCAGAATCGTTTCATATAAATTTAACGATTCCTCAGAAGCAGACAGTTGCAAAAGCATTTTTTTGGTGATTTTAGTTGGGATGTTTTCAAATACTCGCTCTGAACAAGGCACAAAACAAGCAGGCACTGATACGTGAATACTTCAATTGATCGATTAGAATCTTTCTCACTAAACATTGACTATCAAAACATTTGATTGCTAGGTCAGGAGGAGGGCACACATTTGAACCAAAGATGTTTTACATGTGCAATCAAGTAAAATATCCTCAGGAAACATATAGTCAGTGGCACCTTGTTCAGAGTTGCCTTCACATTTCACATTTATTAAAAAAAAGTTTTAATTTTTCAAAAAAGAAATCAAACATAATATTTCTATGATTGAGAGCAGAGTTAAAATATGATGACACTAACATATTACTGATACACAAAAAATCCACTGATATGTAAGAGGTTATTTATGAAAAAACAAAGGACCAACATTTTTTCAGGCAGAGCATTGCTTACCAATTTATATACATCGTTGGTGAGATCGTCGATTTGGGATTTGAAGATTAATGCGAAGAAAAGTAGCCAAACTTAGTTGGCATCACAGGTTAAAAATCCTGGATTCAAGCACATTACTCAGTATATAATGAAATAGGTAGGAGTGTAAGATAAATTAGGTTGGCAATGCAACTAGACATATTTCATTATTACAATAAATATTAGTGCCTTTCGTATCAGTGGCTGCTCATACATAGCCTTGTTTGAAATAAGAGACATGACAAACGTTTCATAGAAAAAATTCACATGGTAAGTTTGTCATTTTAGGCGTTTGAAATCTTATAGCCGGACAAAACTCTCAGACTTAGGATAAATTATGATGATTATTGCCAAAATAAAATACCTAATTTACTATTTCATATAAATTCTTAAATAATATTTTTTTCCAATATTAAATATATTTTAAATTGGGCCATGTCCAACAAGCGTCTGTGAAAATCACTGTACAATTACATATGTGGAAATTTAATTCAGTAATGCAGAATAACTGATAAACACAGCTTGGATTGATTTTTGCAATTTGCAATGTCAGATTTTAAAGAAAGTCATACGATTTTTTTCAATAATCAAATGCTTTAACCTAATCCTCCCGGTTTGACGCATGCGCGACGTTTCAGACGTTTTGCAATGCTGTGTGTATACCATGAGGTCTGGAATGTTTGTTATGGTCTTGCTTGAAAGGAAATCTTATTCCCCACACAACCATATGAGAATGAACCTTATATGACATTTAGAAGTGATAAAATTTCGCTTACATATCACGCGTGTACTTCCCGCTGCGATATAAAAACGTCGCACAACAAGAAAATGATTCCATAAACCTTGGCGTTGCGCGCTAACCAATAACAAAAGCTAGTATGATAAGGTCTTATTTTGAAGGTCATTTTATATGCTACATAACATAGGAGAGTGGACATCTCACAACGTCAGGAAGTTATAAAAATATCGAGTCGTTTGATCGCAGCTGCCTCACCGAAAAAAGTTAGGCGTTTTATCTCGCAAATTCTCCTTGTCTGACGATTATAAGCTTTTATGATTCATAATAAATGTTTTATTATGACTCACAAAAGCTTTCAACGCGATAAAGCACAAACAAACAACCGATCGATCTATCAAGCTTAGCCTGGCTGATTCGATGTGGTGAATTCTCAAACGAAAAATTTCAAAAACGCTTGAACAACGCGCGCTATGGAAAAGCATTTAAAATCGGGAAAAATTTCCAGAACATCTAAGCACTAAGGTTTTATGATAGCCTTGTGGTTATAGCATTGGACTTAGCTATGTTGGATCATAATTCAAAGGTCTCAAGTTCAAGTCCCATGCCCACTGCCTTTACATTCCATCCAAAAATATTAGCATATTACGCAATAGTGGTTGCTTGTGCAGAGCCCTGTGTGAAGTGAACAATGTAATAAAAAAGTGTAATTAGAATTCAATTGCTATTTGGGGGCAGAAAAATTTAATGTTAAACATAAAATCAATGTAAGCTGATACAAGAATCTTGGTTCCGGTAAATACATGATTTAATACTCAACCAACTGAATTCATTACATGACTCACATTCAGACTTCCAGCACGGAATGAGTAGGTGATGACATAAGTGCACCCCCACATAAATCCTGGCAGTTTTTCATCCAACCTTTCCACTGACATTCTTACACCGGGTGGTTGTTGGTTGATGATTCCTAGACCAGATGAAGTAGCTTGACTTGAAGACTGAGATTCTGTAAATTGAAAATTATTTTAGTGAAAGATGATCACAAGACATGATTCTGATTGTGCTTAGAATAAAACGATAGGGCATTTTGTAATAATATATATATAAGCCCCCATGATATCTTATAATCCCCCACGGCAGTGCTAGGCTCAAGTCGTGTATTATATTTTTACTAGTGCTTTATTGAAATATTGAATATTTTGTCAGAATCTACTATTATCTGTAAGCAATGTTCCCTCGAATTTTTTGTAGTATGTGTGCGAAGAAATTTTGGTGTGTGCGCACTTTTTTGGAAAGAACTAATATTTGTGCAAAAACCAAAGAAGAAATTTTGGCGTTCTAACCGGGTAATGGGTGGGCCAACAACAAACTTTCTCAACCTGCCAACCGAGAACATTGTTACATTACATCGAAATACCTCTGTGCACAGTAAATCTATGCGTGTGCGCAGCCTCTGAAAGCTGTGTGCGAGCGCACACCTTAGAGCAGTGGTTCTTAAACTTTTTCGAGCGCGACCCAAATCTGAGTTTTATGAATACTCGCGACCCAATCCTAAAAAACGCAAAATGTGTTTTTAATGTTAGTACAGTCTGACTCAAATACAGACAACTATTTATTAGAAACAGTCCATTGACTCAGTGAGATTGATGAAACTGAAATTTCCTTTTTCATTATATCTTCAATACACAGCTCTATTTTACTTAACGCAATACGCAAGTTGTCACGGGTATCGAAAGCGATTGCGAGCTTAGTTTTGATAACCGTCAGTGCCAAATATCCTCGCTCGCACAAGTGCCTTGTCGCGAATTGTAGCAGAAAAGGCGTCCGCTGTCCGTCGCTGGCCTTCGGTATCTCTCGCAATATACAACTTTTTACTCGTCACATGTGCACGCACTGCTTCGTTCGCGGTAAATGGTGCCTCGAGATGAAGTCACATTTTCTCTAGATATTGAATAATCTAATGTCGAGAAGCGAGCTTTTTCATTACGTCTTCTATTACAATTTTCATTACCAAAAAGACACCCATTTTTGGTTATTTTAATCCACTAAGACGACATTCCATGCGGTCAACACAACGACAAGCGACGTGCATGGTTACCGATACCATAAAAATAATACACGTGACTGGCATATCAGAATTGTGATGTAACAATGAGCTCAAGACAGTTCTTTCCGTGAATGAAATTTTTTATTTCATTATTTTTAAATACCAGAGTTTAGAAGCTAAATTGAAACATTGGGAAAGCTGAAAATTCGTCCTTCTCCTCTTAGATTGCCCTTGCATTGACGACCTTGTCGCGACCCATTTTTAAACCTTCCGCGACCCATGTTTGGGTCGCGACCCATACTTTAAGAACCACTGCCTTAGAGGGAACACTGTCTGTAAGTAACGGTATTGCCTGCCCAATCTGTTACACCCTGGGTGGCGCCGTAGGATTTGAACCAGGGAGGTGTAATCTGAAATGGCAACGGCTAAGCCCAATGCTTCAACCACTGTGTCATCACCAACTGGATATTGGTTCATTTGGTTTTAACCTGTTACTTTTAAATCATAATTACCAGAAACTCGAGTGGAGTTGAGGTGACCAATATCCTAATTATGTTAAATATCAAACCAGTATTTATATTGTCTATGGATTAACACTAACTTCAATTAGCCTACATATATTCTGAATTAGAATAAATTCTAAAAAAATTAATATGAATGACAAACTTCATTTTTTAGAGTTGTCTGAAAAATAACATTTTATTAAAAAACATCAATTTATTATTGCAGAATTTCTTAACTACGGTATGTCTTTATTGAATAGCACTGATTTTATTTTCAATAAATTCTATGGAAACCCCAGATACAACTGAGTCATATCATAACCCCCAGATAATTGAAATATCTAACACTCTTACAACTTGTTCATCATCAAGTTAGGTCATAACTCTAACTGGGGTTGACAATGCCTGGCTTGGGAATGTAGATTTGCACATCTAGGATGACTACTTATCTGCAGCCTTATCATGAGCAACTCTATTATCAAAAAGCCAGTCAATCATTCAGTATTAATATCCAACTCCAGGGCAGGTGGGTTAGTATAACTTTATTTAATAATATGAAATTTATATTCTGAGGTAACAAGAAGTTTGCTGTGTTAATCTTTTGCTTTCAGTATCTGTTCTAATTTTTGTAAAAAAGCTAACTAATTTCAACTTAAAACTAATATAAATTGTATTTGATAAGCTTGTTGCTGCATAATCTTTCTAAAGCTTGCCACGTTGAACCCCAAACCATATGCTATTGCTATTAGAATAGAAATGCTTTTTTTTTTTAATTATTAGTGCAATGGGTGGTTGGGTCTAGGTTTACCAAAAACTTTTTCTGATATCTAAATAACATTGTAATAATAGATTCAACACGACATGTAACTCTGTGGCCTGCATGCTTTGAACCAGGGGTGTGCAAACTTAATTACATGAGTGCCAGATACAAGGTGAAGCCGCATGCCGCACCTAGAAACTCTACCTACGAAAGCTCTGGAAAATCCAATTCACGAAAATTCTTCTCATAAAAATTATGCTTTGGCTAAAACGCAAGATCTTTTACATACGAAAAGCCAAAAACTTGAAAAAAACTCATGTAATGAAATTTGTTTATTTTAGGTTAATTTAATGCTGTACTCGAAGAAGGGATGTCCATTTAGAATTTAATATTTGAATATCGCTACCCTCGAATACCGTTTTTCGTGTTTATAACATATTACATATGTTTATTACATATCCTAGCGCCGCCGTCCATGTTTTGATTTAAAAATTTTCTTTCTTATCAAATACGATGACAGCAGTGTGCGGCACGTCTATAAATTATCTGGCAGCCCGTTTGTTTCCATGAGTATGTACAATGTGTTGCTAGCGGACTTCAACGAGAAGACGATGATACAATGAAAAAATTAATAAAAAGTTTTGAATTTGCTGTGTGTGCTGATTTCCACACATTACGTTCTCTCTCAGCGGTCAACTCCTCCGGGCGCTGTCCTCCTACCCGCCGAGGTTTCGTTTAGCTTAGTCGGCCAACGCCAAAGATAAACTTTCGTGGTTACGGGTTCAACCATTATTATGATTCATATTAATATTATGTCCGAGTTTTGTAGGGGCTTATAACGAATTAGAGCATTTACAGGTAAAATGTGTCCATATTTATGGAATTTTCGACCTACAAAAGGACTTCAGAAACGAATTAATTTTGTAGGTTGAGTTTTTACTGTAGTTGCAAGCACAAAAAATTTACTTTTGTTGTTGATCTTACAGTATTTACAGTTGATCAACAATTCAGCAATTTCTAAAGAAAACTGTTAAAAATTTAGTGTCACACCGACTTTAACGAATTCAGTGAGAAACACGTTTTTATAATATTGTGTTTTTTGCAACAGGATTTTGCTAGCTAGTCCCACCAATATGACAGTGGAACTCAGATACCTGTATAGGCTTTGCAACGCAAAAAGATCGGGATTGCTCGCACATACAAGATTAACTAAATTAAAAACTAGTTTCACGGGTACATCATTCAAAATTGGCACTTCACTGTGGGGCCGCACAATTTTTCTTTGCAGGCTGTAGTTTGCATGCCCTTTTAAACCAATCAAAATGCATGGACAAAATATCACTCACCAGGATAATCTTGCACCAACTCAAGAATGCTTACCTCGATATAACTAATATAACATTTGGGATTCTGTGGATAATAAAAGTCGCAATCTTTGAAGACATCCTTACCAAGCAATGATTGTATTGGTTGACATTTAGATTTCAGATTTAAAAATTGAAATATTATTTGATAGAATTAGCCTAAAAATGGCGGTCAGGCTGTTTTAGGTTGTATGGCCAAGAACCACCATTCGAATAATTTATTGCCATGCGATATGCAAATTTCGGTATTTGTATAAACGCTTACATAGTATACATATTGGATCCCCATATGAAAAATTACTATGCAACGCTTGAAAAATCCAAGGCCCCAATATAAGTCAGCTCAAGTGTTGGAGTTTTGCAGAATAAGAAGAGTTTCTAGAATATCAGCTTGGATTGACTAGTTGTCGGTCTGGGAAATTATTTAGAATTAACAATTTGCCATACTTGATTGGGTGCAAATTGCATATTGATAAAACAAAAAAACATCTCGCACCTTTTATCTTTTGTCTCAATTCTTTTTTCTCTTTCTCAGCTTTCTCATATTTTTTTTTCATCTGTTGAGATTCTTGTGACTGTTGACGCATCATCATCACTAATTGTAGTCTGCTTCTTTCAGATTCTTGCTTTTCTTTCTCTGCTTCATCTTTCTGTCGTTTCAGTTCTTCCACTGTCTGAGGTTGCTTGAAGCCTAATAAATACATAAGCAATACAATTAAGTGAATGGGTATAATAGGACATATTGGAATTCTGAAATTACAACACAGAGCCAAAAAAGCATTTTTATCTCAATCAGTTTTGTAATTCCAAAGTTAAAAAGGTTTTACATGACAGGTACAAATATCTTGAATCGTTATCAAGTTAAAACACAACCCCAGCATGCCCTTCAAAAACCCATCAACGATACTAGTATAAGGATAAGCTATGGACCATTGTATGAAAATTCAATTTATAATTCAATCAGTTCCTACCTCTGAAAATTCAAATGGATAACTAAGACCTTATAATGAAAAATTTCTTTTTTCTATTTATTATAGCACTATTCGATACAGCAAATACAGATGACTTACATAGGTTAGGAAATGGGCAAGCCAGTTCCCCACCAAAGTATTTATGCTGTTGGATTTGATCCAAAGTAGGTCGCTCTTTCGGAACTCGACGAAGCATCCAGCCGACTAAATCCCTTATCTCACTTCCAAGTTTGCTCAAGTCACAACCTTGATTTTGCATTATAAGGTAACTCCATCCAACAGGGTTATCACCAAATGGGTGACTCCCATCAGTCTCAATGAAATGTATCACAAGGGCCAGTGAGAATACGTCGGCTTGTTTGGATATGACATTGGCATTGTATGTCTCTGGGGCTCTCCATCCATCTGTACCAATGCCCAAAGCGCTGGCTTTGGTGACAGAATGACCAGGTTTCATTTCTTTGCTTAAACCAAAATCTATCACTTTTAATTGCATTCCATCATCTGATACCAAGATATTATCAGGTTTCAAATCACGATGTATTACATTATTGCTATGGATGTGGGCAATGCCATTTACAAGTTGTTGGATGAGTATCTGCTTGATTCTTTTGGTTCGTTTTGAACCTTTTATGAAGTTAGTCAAATTGTCGGGGCCACATAGTTCCATGGCAATGAAAATATGCTTGACTGGGCCAAGGTGATAAATGCCAGAATCTATAATGTTAGCAATGTTCTGGTGATGGCTGATTTTGACCAGAATTCTTGCTTCCCTCTCATTATCCTCGCTGTACTTCAAGGATTTCACGGCAATATCACATTGACCGGACTTTCCATAAATCTTCACACCCTTATAAACATTTCCAAGCTTGGAAATGGACTCGTAATGAAGCATGTAGAGTGAATCAGTCAAACGAATTGAACCTGGAATATAAAATACTTCTCGAGACATTGCACCATACCCAATAGCATGGTAATTACATTTCTTTCAACGATTCAAGCAATTTAAATAACTAAGTTTTCGGTTCAAATCCCATGTTCACCACCTGGACAAGAAAGTAATAACTAGAGCAGGCAATGGAGAACATGTAAGATACCAGTCCTTCCAAAGCAGTAGCTCTTTCACATCAGTGGCTACTTATACAAGGCTTTGTTCAGAGTGTGAACATCTCATAAAAAATCATGACTTCATTATACAATAGGTCTGCAAATATATATATAAATGCTCATTCAAAAATTATTCATACAATAGCAATCAATGTTCAATTTCACACTTGCCACAGCCCACAGTCTTAGTCTTTTATTAAATATTATGTATCATCATTTTATATTAAATTTCTCACAGCAACTAACTTAATTGCTTAAAGTTCCGTGACAATCAGTACATTCTTGCATGTTGCACCACATAGTATTCTTACCACATAAACAATTGTTTGTACGAAAATACTAAACCTGTGTTTAGGTGGAGCATTGTGAAAATGCCTCAAAAATAAATGTAGCTATCGACTTGTATCATTAGGCTGGGCATTGCCCCGAAAATAAATCTTCCAGGAGATTTGAAATATTATCTTGTAATAGAGTATAAACCTGGGATTGGGTTGTTTCCTTTTGAACTTGTAGAAGGAGTATCTTCCTCAGATGAGGAATCATCAGGTCTTTTCTTTTTATCGCCCTTTTGGACTGAGATGTCAGAACTTTTAGAAAAGTAGAAGTCTGTTTTTATTTTATCCCCTGCAAATTAAAAAGAAAAATACAATAAGACATGAATCTCCCAGCAGCTGAGCAGAGAAGGACATTTAAGATATATAAAATGATAATTTACTGACCTTGGTTTTGATTAAAAACCACGGTGTTAGCTATCACAGCTCCATGTTTTCGGGATTTTTCCATCAGATAATCAAGACCTCGAGCAAGATTTTGGTCTAAAGCTCGACTTGTGCCAGGTAAACTTAGTGCTTGAGAAGCATTTTGAGATGTTGTGGGATCTTCTCTATCATGAGAAGTTGAAGGTTGGTCTGGTGATTCTGGATCAGAGTCATCTAATTCAATTATATTCGGCAATCTATCCATTTTATTCAGAATTCTTCTTGTTCTAAAATTGACTTAGAATGAACTAAGAACAACAGCTAAAAAAAATAATATTATCGATTCCGTATATTTGGTAAATCAGTCTGTGACTTGAATCAGTCTGTTTTCCCAAAAATAAGATGGTGTCCCATTTCAATTTTCTTTCGAAAAATAACACTAGGGCTTTTCGGGGGATGTTTATTCATCAAAAACAAAATTAGAAAGTACAGAATTAGGAGATTTTTGGGGTTAACACAGTAGTATACAGTACTGGTAGCGGTACCGGTAACAACTTCTGACAATTTAATCCGTTAGGATAGGATCAAGTCAAATAGGATTAGGTTTCATATTTATCCCGGGGAGAGGGAAGCCAATAAAATAGCTGAAAGGATAGGATGGGATTTACATATTTATCCCGGGGAGAGGAGAAATATTACGACGAATCTCGACCTCTCGTCCGATTACCACTTAAAGTCGGATATGGGATTAGTTATCCAGTTATTGATTTCAGATGCAAGTGGTTACCGCCATATTTTAACCAAATTTCCTGAGTAGGCTACTGCAACCAGGATTTACAATTATAAATAATAACAAAACGATCCATGTGTGTTATCACGTGTCCGATAATAAACACATGTAATTACAATGCCTCCAACTTATATATTGCTCACAGGCTTAAGTACGGTACGGTACTGTAATAATCTAACTAAGACGAAAAGTCAGAACCGAAAGCAGCCATAACGATCGACTTATCCTATCCAGATCCGATGCTGGTGGTGTTGCCGAGAGTCTTAAAAATCACAAAACCCCGGTATTATTACGTAATAGTCACCCTAAAAAATTGGTTCGTTGGTATGCGAAGCTCAACATCGATTCAGACTTCAAGTCGCGTTTTGCGAGGAAAGAATTATTCGTGAATATTGTGGTATGCGCTTGACGTTGAAAATATGCTGAACAAAGTGACGATGCCGGATTAATTGGCAATTGACTACTTCGACGTACTTTAATTTTGACGTAGAAGTACACAGAACGTCGGGAGCGACTGAAGGCACACGGTGAAACGGGTCAGTGTACTATATAAAAACATATTCCTATCATATTTTCGTAATCTATCGGCGTGAAGTTGCATGCCGACCGACAGTTACCGTACTTGAACCACCCTGAAAATTTGAGAAGCTTTGCAAATATTTCACTCATATATAACTGAAGGCATTCGAACCTGCGAACTCAATCCAGGCATCCGGAGAAGAGGAAATACTATAAGATAATACATAAGGTCCGCAATCAGACATTTGGATTCAGAGTTTTCGTTGGAGTCGGAATTATAAAAGATGCCATGTCTACAACTTTTTTGACCAGCGGTCACATTAAACGTATTTCGGTGGCGAGGAATCATTACGCTGCGAAACCGCTCATAGCAATTGGAGGTGCCATGGCGAGCGTACTCCTAACGCTTAGCTTACACACTGTGCCATACCTCCGAGCCGAATAAACTACGTTGGCGGGTTACCGGAACGCCCAGATGGTCCGTTGTCAAAAGTGTTGATTTTTACATGTTCACCAAGCAGTCATGTTCAATTGTCGTATACCAAAATGCAAATGTTATTTTTAGAAAGTTCAAGGTTTGTTTCACTAGTATAGGCACCAAATGATATTATCGATATAAGATAGTGATGGAATATGTTACATCAACGGCTCCATGTTGGAAGTATTCGAGTTGGCGATGACGAACAAGAAACAGTTCTAATAATAGTATACTGATGATTTTCAATCTTTTTTCGAATCGCGGAACACTCTTTAGATCATAAATTTTTCGCGGAACACCAGACGAAAATTTCCGATTTTGTGGAAACTATCAAAAAACCAATGTTCTCGATCAGTTTCAGCATAGGAATAAAATCACAACAAGACCAATGGCTTATGATTCGCGTTGTATGAAGACGTAACAAATTAAAATTGATGATTACAGAGAACAAAAGTACGCTGAAATAACAATTGGAAATATTGTTCGTAGCCGTTCATAGCACAAGTGGGATAGTTTGACTGCGGGATTCAGGGAAGGCAAACACGTAGTTCTTCTTCAACGATTGTCGGTTTCCTTTCAGTATGATATAACTCGCGGTATGCATTATGGATAACGCTGATAAATTGTCTTTATGATGTCATTAAACTTAAAATGAGATTCTGGTAATTCAGAAGTCGCCTTGATGATGACCGTTATTGTTTCCCCAGCATCGTTAAAATTGATATTTAGGCGGTCGCTCTGACTTATTGACTCGGTTTATGTGCTATTTATCAGTTTTATTAGTGTTTCTGATATTTAGACGTAAATAAAATGACTCTTTTACGCCTGAAAATTTCTCCTTGCACTTCAACCATTGACTACCTTTTGTGCTCCTTTTATGAGTATTCTACGAGCTCGCATTCGCAAACTGTGTTAAAATTAATATTTTGTTCTCAAAAAACTGAGCAGCTGCCAATAAAATACTGAACCTAGTCCAGTAATATATCCAAGCAGTTTCGTAATCGTTTTTTTGCTTCGATACTCCGATTAAACCAAGGTTTCTGCACGTGACCCAGCTTTAAGCAATTTTATTTTATATGTCACTTCAACATATTGAAATTTCAGACGTATCCGTGCATTTCGTTTAAACACATTTACAGGAGAATGAAAATCAACCTATATTTTCGTATCTTAGTTCGGCCCTCTTGAGGTTGCTTCAAGCTTTAACTTTAAAATAAATTCCAATTGTATTCAAATAAATGAATCCAGTTGAGAGAGTATCAGCTGTGATGATGGGTTCACTGGGCCTTGAAACTACAAAGCTTGATATAAAACCAGTGATAGAACGATTGTCATGGGATTTAATTAAGGTGGACAGGTCAACCTTGTGGGTGTTTCATGGAGATATTAACGGCAATATGGCAATGATTAGTTAAAATTTTGGTGATAATCATTAACAATATATTAAAAAAATTAAATATGAGCATGTGAATATTATTAAACAATGATGGAGATATATGGTTAAATACAAGCCTTTACCCACCACCACATTGGGGGTGGATATTGGGTGGATTGAAAGCATGAACTGTGGCTCCAGTTTCTTTCCATACTGAGTTGTTAGGAGAGAAAAGTCAACAATATATATATTAAATCATCCAACATCGAAGAGACAACTGAAGTCAAATAATTTATTATGGGTAAGTATGATGATACACAACACGCATTGAAGTTTTTCATTAAACTAAAGTGAGCTTCCACTAAATCACAAGTATTTTTCTGAATCATGAAATTTGACTTCAAAATCTACGATTATCAGTCAAACAAGATATTATGAATATTCTAGTTTTTAAATTCTGTTCCAAGCTTTTTTATTTTGAATAAATTTCATTAAAGCAGCTACGATTTTTCAAAAACATAATTATACTCATCATGGCTTTGAAAAAATTCAAATGCTTTCACATGAATATGCGACGAATTTTAAATTTATCTTTTATATACTTTCGAAAACAAGGTACAAATTACATGCATTTAAAGGTAACTCAATTGCATACTAGAAATTAACAGGCTTCAAGCTTGGGAATTACTACAAGAATAATTATAACCTTGAGGTGCATTTGGCAAAAAATTTCGTATTTGAATTATGTAATTCATAACAATTAAATATGGAGAATTAATTGAGGAAATATATAAAAATTATTAGTTGTTGCTAACAGATGTCAATATGAAATTAATATTATACAATTAATTATCTTCACATATCACAAAAATGCATTTACACCGATGCAGACAAAATATTTTAAATGGAAACAGGCCATATATGAAATGCTAGTGCAGAGATGCAAAAATAAAATCTGCTCCAACTTGAATTTTGTACATCTCAACAGCTGAAATTAATAAATAAAATTCTCGCTAGTATTACAGCTGATAATGATGACGATTTTCTTTTACAAATAAAAACAACTAAAACAAAATAAAACCACTAAACTAAAATACACGCCATGCATGGCAAATTAGGGACAATTCCTGGTAGATAGGAATAACTAATTACTAAAAAATAGGTAAAATACTGGTCAAAAGGGTAAATTATACATCAAATTGTTTGCATAAGTAGTTAGTATTATGAATAAACAATAGCCTTATAGTATTATTAAATTGCATAAGAATTAGCAAAATATGAATTACTATGAAAACAAAAACATGAAATGAAAATAAACATATAGGAAATTAACATTATAATCTTGTAACATTGAAAAATACTAATGTTTAGAATTACTCAATCTACTACAGATAGACAGAGTTGATAAATCAACCAATGTCGCATAACAGATTTATCCATGTATTATGTACAAGTGACTCGTAACATTAACATTCAAATGATTGAAATAAATACGATAATAAGTAATTGTAAAAGGGGATTTGTCTAAAAAAATTGCATATCTGAATTATTTAATTGACAACAATGAAATACGAGATCTAAATTTAAATATTTATTTTTTGCCAGCAGAAGTAAATATGAAAGTGATATCAAAATATAGCAAGAAATATAAAATCAATGTAAATTGCTGAACCATGATTAAATTTTAAAATGATAAGTGATTGGAATAGCGATTATGGATCTCCCTTTAGGCAAAATAAAGTCACATATAGTCACTCTCCAATCATGGCTAATGAAGTCGAATTTGCAAAGAAAAAATATTGAATAAATATATTGAAAAATAATCCGTGGACAATTTGAATTGCGTATTTTATAAATCAAAATTATACAGGGACCGCTCAAATATAGTTAGAGCATATAGTTTACAAAAAAGCATTGGACAAAATTAATGGAGGCTATTATGGTGGGATTATCTGGTTGGTTACAGCTCCCCCTGCCAAGCAAATTCATGATGATACATCTGAATATAGATCTGATTTTGGTAACCGGGCTGATAGCGGAGTGCTCAACTAGCCTTCTCGCCAGGATAAATACAAAACTTATATATCGCAATTATCACTGGCCCACATTTCTGTGACATCACAATGATAGAAAGAGTATGTAAAGAATCAGCGTCTCC